TAACCTCGAGGGAGCCCTCTCTGACTCCCCCATCCAACCGACCCAACGCCCTGGTGCTCCAGGACTGGGCAGCCCTCCCCATCTCTGGGGGCCTGAATGACACATCCCTAATTAGGCTGGCCTAGTTGAAGTGACACTCATGTCTAGGGAAGATCTCCTGCAGGAATTCAGGGCAGCTCAGGAACAGAGATGCGAACGTGGAGAAGTCCCCTGGGACCCCAAGTCCCGCAGGTTTTACCTTCTAAACATCTCTCCAAACCATATGCTCCATCTCAGCGACATCACCCTTACACAAACCCCATCGCCTTTCTCCTGGACTCCCGCAGTGGCCTCCTCAAGGACTCTCCCAGATTGCACCTCCAGGTCTCAATTCAAACTGTGACAAAAAGATGGTTTAAAGAAACAGATGTAATCATAATACTTCGCTGCTTAAAATTCCTTAGCAGCTTCTCATTGCATTTAGGAAAAAAGATCAAAATCCTTATTCTGGTCCAGAAGAACCTGCAGGACTGGGCTCCTGCTGCCACTGCAGCCTCCCTTGCCCTGTGCCTCTGGCTTTCTTTCTGCACAGCCTGGCAGCCTCTGGGTCTGCCCTCACCCTCTGCCTCTGCCTCTTTCACTGGTTAACCCCTCCTTAATTGTTTAGATGACTGTTCAAATGCCCTTCCCAGTCAGGTCTGTTCAATGTTCTCATAGTGTCTTGTATTTGTTGCCAAGGCATGCTCTAAGTTTGCAATTATACGTTGGCTTTTCTGTTGCCAGCTTCTCCCTGGCATGGAGGCTGCCTGAATGCACGGCTTGTGGTTATTTTGTTCATTTAGTGCTGGGCGTATGGGGAGGGAGGTGCTGACTTTTAAATGAAAAGTCCTGACTTTTAAATGAAAAGGGAAACAAGCATCTTGGGAGAAGAGAACCAATCAGCACAGCCCACAAGGAGCCCCTCAGATACTTTGGAGCTGGCAAGGCATGGTGGGAAAGAGAATGGCTTGGGAGGGGCAACCGAGAAGGGGTGAAGGTTGGCTCGATTGTAGTCTCAAAGGACGAGGCTGTGTCGTAGCTACCACGATGGTGGTGGCGGGAAAGCCAGCCTCATGGGCTCTTTGGTTTGCATTCCTTGCTCAAGTTTAAAAGTCCCTCCGCGGGTATCCAGTGGACAAAGCCTAAGGTATGCACCCATGTCCTGGCGACCCCGAGGAGGAGGAAAGAGTGTTTTCTACTGTGGCTTCCACCGAGGGAAGCAGTGTCCTCACATAATGGGAAATTCTCCAAACTAGAAAGGAGTTTGGATGTCGAGAAGCCATTAAATGACCAATGTCTACTACATGGTGGGAGGCATGAGCAGAAAAATGGAGTAAGGCAAGCAGGCAGCTATAATGGTGGTACAGAGTGCCGAGGCACCCCCGAGAGTGGGCACGGCTGTCAGGGCCCCGAGAAGAGATAAAGTCGAGGGACTATTTTCAAATGTGTGGGCAGGTGGAGGAGAACCACAAGGGCTAGCACGGATCCCCAGGTCTAGAAGCAGCTAAGGTGCAAAGACCTGAGACCTGAAGTGGCAAGTGGGGGGAGCAGGTATCTGAAAGCCAAAAAGAGAGTTAGGTGGAGACAGCCAATTGCCAGGTGCTGTGACTCTCTTGGGATAGGAGCTGTCAGCCCACCATGATGCTAGAAAGATGGAGTTGGAAAATAAGTACCCTGACTCACCATGCCCCATCCCCACCACCCCACCAGTGTCCTCTCTTCAATGTCCATGGGCTGCCCATTTTGATACCCAACCAGAAGCCTGAGGGCACGGGAGTCCATTGATAGAATTCACACAGGGTGGTCTTGAAGGATGCAGAGCAGGGAGAAGGGAGGAGAGCAGAAGAGGGAGGGGCAAAGAGAAGACCAAGCACCCAGGAAGTTAATTCTCAATGGAGAGCTACTGAGCGCTTCGTGGGGGGTGGAAGTGGGCTTGGACTTTGAGGGTGGAGTAGAATTTCAGAAAAACTTTCAAGATGGAGGAGATTGCATGGACAAAGCCACAGAGTCAGCCACTGATGGATGTGGTTGAGAAATGGCAAGCTCACACTTCTGACCAGAGCTCATGGTGGGTAGGCATCTGAAACCCACTGTGAGGCATTGAATGTCATGGCCCTGGGCCTTTCTCCCTACCTGTCCCTATTTGGGGGCCTCTATTGCTTTCTCAAGGCCAAGATTAAGGACTCCTGTTTGATATGTCTTGTTCCCCAATCAGAATTTGATTCTTGTGTTGCTTCTGGGGAATACCTTACCAGCTTAGTTATATCTGTATTTCTGGGGAGGAAACATGACTGGGGCTCAGAGTCTCCAAAGTCAGCAGCCGGCAGAGGGTTAAGCCTCCCACTTCAGGCTTGGTTGTTACAAGGAGCCCGTTTGTTTGGGTTTACACAGCAAGGCGAGCGTTGCTATGGCTGAATTGCAGGCAACAAGTCTTATGATCTGGAACAGCAAACTGTGTATATAACATGACAGCATTTATTAAAGCAAGATAAACCCAGCAGCAAAAGATCTGGCCAGAGCCATAAATTCCTCTGATCTTCGCTTCTGAGCCATGGCATTCCATTTAAATGAGGCTTATCAGCTCCAACATTTTCATGAAATAAGTCAATTTGCTGAAAACACCTCTGAGAATGAACTGGGAATTGCTTCTCCTGCCCACCACCCTTGTTTTAAAAGAGATATGCGTAGTGTGTGGTTCTGATTCCCACTTGCTGAGTACAAAGAGATCTGCCTTGCTGGGCAATGAGCTCTTCCCATCACTAGGTGTATTCAGGCCGAGGCTGGGGGACACTGGGCTCTCTTCATTTTTGGGGGCTTAGAGTGGAGGAGAAGAAGATATTCCTGACAGGCATTCTTTATAGTTCTAAGAACTTGGGATTGTAAGAACCTGATGAAGGATCCAGTTGAACTTCCCCCATACCCCTCATTCTGCAACCTGTACTCTGTCACCATGGCACACATTTCCTCAGAGAAGGAAAGATTTTCATCAGGGGGCCTGAGGTTGAGAAGGAATGTTCGGGCCAGAAGGCCAGGGTTTAAATCCTAGCGTTATTATTAATTACCCAATTAAGCAAGTCACTGTATTTCTACGAGCCCCGGTTCATCATATATAAAGTGACAGTAGTGATAGCTAATGCTTATTAACACTTTATCTATGCCAGGCACGATGCTAAGGGCCTCATATGGATGATATTATTTATTTGTCACCGAAACGTTATGAAATTAAGAAGTGCAAATATCCCCACTTTACTGATGAGGAAACTGAGGCACAGAGAAGTTTGGGAACTTGGGAATGGTGGAGCCAAGATTTGAACTCACATGGTCTGCCTCTGGGGATTTTAACCTATGCATGAGAACAACTGTCACCTCATCTATGTCATAGAATTATTAGAAGATTGATACTGGCTCAACACAGAGTTGACATAAGGGAAGCCATACTATAGAAAAGAAACCATATTGTAACTTTGAATGACCTCTGATGAACTCACCCAGACATGCTCTGTAGATTTTATGGCCCCTCTCAGCTGCTGTAAGTTGATAACTTTGTTCTTTTGAGTTCCTTAGGAATGTGATGACCCCCAGGCAGAGAGTCTATGCTGATAGTCAGCATCGTGACAACTGAAAGATCAGGGTATAGGCCATTGTTCCAGTCTCTGACGCATATCCAGTAAAGCAAAAGACTGTCAGGAACTAAGCCCAGATGTCTGCCCCACCTGGAGACCAGATGGAGGCCCCACTGGGATTAGGACTATTTTTCAAGGACTGTTAAAATTTCGGTTTTCTATACTTCTTATCCTTCTGGTCCAATACTTGATTATAAGATGTGACTTTAGATGTCATTCCAAACCTGTTGAACAAGGTACAATATTCTAATAATGCAAAATGCTAACCTGAAGCCAGGAACAAGAGAATATTTCCAAATGAGTGCTAAACAGTTTCATTCCTCTAACCCAGATCTACACCCCAATTCAGCAGGAAGGAGCTGGATCGGTTGCAGCCCTGAATCCCTCAAGAATGAGGAGTGACCAAAGAATAGGAGGGATTGAAACCAGCAAACAGTTAGCTATTGATGGTTAAGCAGCTAGGAACTAAAGTTCTTTTTCCTTTTTGCAATTACGGATTATAGCTTTTAGCTATTTAACCCACCCATTGTTAACTGTGCTGCTTAGGCAATATGCTGTTGTCTGACTCCCACTAGGCTCTTGTAGATAACATCTCCCTGGAGCCTGGGTCACCATGGTAACAGATGTTTGAGCTGTTCTTCAGGGATTAGAACCTCTTGTCCACTTCAGGCTGGTTGAGACCACCAACCCATCAACTGGGACTGTGCAGATGTCTGATAAATGACCTTTTGAAGTCAAGAGGCTAAAACCTCCATCCTCAGATCATACTAATGTTGCCATTTTGTGAGCATGCATCCTATGAAGAGGCATGGAGTCTGACTACGCTTGTACAGATTATCAATTACCTCACCTCTCCTCACCTCCAACCACCTCTCTCCACATTTCAGACCACCTTTCCCTCTTATCCCATAAATATCCCTGAGTCCCTCTTTTCTGGAAATCTGATTTGAGACTCATTCTCTTGCTTCCTCACGTGGCTGCCTTGTGAGTAAACCCTCTCTCTGCTGCAATCTCGGCGTCTCGGTGTTTGGCTTTCCGGGCAGTAGGCAAAAACAAACCCGGTGCGGTAACAAGATTACATTAGAAAATGGGTATAAAAACATCTTTTAAACCATAAACGATTAGTCTTGGAAATGTTGAGCAAGAAGCTGAAACTTAAGTTGTAAGCTTTTTCCAACCTTGTTCAACTTTGCTCAAAAAAGTGTTTCCGTCCTCCCAGCCTTTAGTCTGCCTTTCTTTCCCCTCCCACTTGACCACCATCCCTCCCTAACCTTTCATTTCCAACATCCCTCCCTCTGTTCAAATGCATAGGCTTTGGTGGAATTCAGGCTCAACAATGAAAGGCCTGAAACAGCCAAATTTAAAAGTACTTGTGCTTTTATTAAAAAAAAAATACAATCAGGTACTGTCCAGATGTGTTTGGGAAAGGAAGATCTCTTTAAAAACCCTTAGTTTTCATCATCATCATTATTATATTAATAATATTAATCATATCCTTAAAATTCAAACAGTATTGCTTTTCTGGTTTCTGTTGTATGAAATGTAAAAAAAGGGACGGCTTCCAATGACACACATTGACTCATTGCTAACAAAAATAATGATAATTAATTACATAGCTTTGGGTAAAATACAGTCCTAAAACTACCACTGTACAGCCTACCCCTCTCCCATTCCCAGAGCCACCCAAGAGAAGGAAAACCATGGCGATGCTGTCACTGGAAGATTTTTGCTGATTCAAACAACAAAACGGAAACAGGTTGGAGACTGTCGTCTTTGGTGTGAAGGAAGTCACCGCAGAGGGGGGCCAGGACAGTGCTGCTGCCTTTGGCCCTGATGATCCATGGTCAACTTTAACTCCTGCCAAATGTCCAGGTGTGGCTTGGTGGTTAGATTGATTGTATCGATGCTTTGGTAAAATTTTTTTCTTTCTCTGGGCCCTACTTCTCTCTCACCCAGTTGTCCCTGGAATTTATGCTCGTTTGCGCCTGCCTTCAAGATTTCGGAAGTTGCTGGGTCTCAGCTTCATCTCAGCAAACTGGATTGAATATTCGTGGCCCTTCCAGTGGAACCAGTTAACACCCTGTAAAAAAAAAAAAGATCTCCAGATTGGTTTCCATTAGGCTAGGGGTTCACTGACCATTGCAGTTTAGTAGACGGAACAAAACGAGTTCTGTTTCAACTTGACCATTTGGTAGTTGACAACTGTCTTTTGCTTATCTGTCTATTGACCTGTGTAGTCAAAACTTTCAAACAGGCTGGCTGAATATGACTCCAATTTTTTACTTTGGTCAGAAGTCACCTGACTGCATTGAGCTTTGATCTTCCATCTTGAAACAAAATGGCGGTTGGTGAAACTTGGCAACATTAGGAATAGGTGCCGAAGGAATTCAGGTCATGATTGGAGGTTACAGAATTGAGTAGCTACACGCAGAGAAGTCTATAATTCACAGGATTTCTATGGAGTGTGTTAATAGAGGTTTGTATGGAACAGCAGAGAGAACACAGGTGGAACACAAGTTTGCAACTTAACATATAGGGTTAAATCTTAGTGCTCTTCCTTGAGAGATAAATGGTCTTGAACAAGTTATCAAAACTTTCTGGGCCTCAGTTTCACTATCTTTTTTGTTTTTCTTAAGGTCTGATAATGTCAACCTTGAAAGTATGTATGAAGATTAAATGAGTTTGTAAAGGAGCCATCACACTGCTCAGCACATAATAGGTGCTCAATAAATATTACTTTACTAATCCCAAACAGGGAGAAATATCCTTGGAATTTTGGCCGAAGATTTTCCTTTAAGAAAAGACTATTTTTTTGTGTGTCTGGATCTCCTGGTCCCACGTTGACTCTTTAGCAGAGTCTACAGATGGTAGAGTCTGCCCATCCAGTTCCACATGGCCCCTTGTCCCACTGGTGAGGGGTTCAGCTTCAGAGGGTGCTCCTAGGAGCCACCACTCCATGCACTCCCTCTTCTCTTTAACCTGCCTTGGGCTGTGAGGGGACAACTGTAATTAGGCAGCTACGGTAAGGTAGTGCAGCCTGACAGCCTGGTCCTGTGCCGCCTTCCTGTGTCCTCATTCTTTCCTCTGATAGAGCTGGGGGCAAGCTCTCCTTGCACTATGGTGCAGACTGAAACCAGAGAGGGGAAGTGACTTCACACAGGCCACACAGCACCGGAGCAGAGCCAGAGCTGGGACCAAACTCCCATAATTGCATTGTGGCCTTTTTTGTCATCTCCTTCTTCTTCCAAAATTGGATGGAAGATGAAACAAGAAGTTTCCTTTAGGCATGTGGCTTTTTTTTTTTTTTTTCAGAAGCACTTCATACTGCACTAGTGTTAGGAGACAAGGTAATAAAGGCAATCCAATGGTGCTCAGAGCGGAGGTGTAATTGAGGCAACACAATAAGACAGGAAAACACAGAACCGGGGTCAAAACGTGTCCTCCAGCTCTTGGCTCCTCTGTCCAACAGGCATGAATAGCCACGTCCTGGTCCCCTCACAGGGTAAAGGTGACAAGCACCTGGGCTGGAGGAGCTGAGAGTGCCCTGTAGAGCATCAGCAATGGTGCCGTGGGGAGAGCTCCCTATAAAGGCACAATGATGATTTGCTCGCAGCTACCTCAAGCATAAACACTCGTATGAAAATTACTAATAAGGAAGAGCAGCCGGTAAAAAACCAAATGCCAACAACAACAAAAAAACCTCGATAATAAAGTACAAATAAGCAAAACGACAAGATGCTACATCCTACCTGAGACCATGAATCCGAATCCCTGGGCTATAAGGTGGGGTTAGAGCCTGTGGCTTTTGACAAAGCCCCCAGGACCCCTTGGGAGCAGCCTGGGTAGGAATCCCTGAGTTCCAGGGATCAGTCTGGGTGGCCGTGTGTGAGCACCCTCTCTCCTCCCCAGGGTGGGGATGGCCTCTGAGAAGGGACCAGGCAGGGGCTCCACTGTGATTAAGTAGCTGGAAACCACCTGACTTTGTCCACTTCTCGGGCGCATGCTGGTGCACCAGAGTTCAGCCTAAGGGAGATGATTGCACTTGTTCTGCTCACCTATTTCTAAAGGGGACCTCAAAAATCTGTTTCTGTGATTGGGGAAATTAAGCTACAGCATCCTGTGTGGCACAGAGAAACGCCAAGGGCCGGATGTGGGGAGGTCCTGTTTTGCCTCCAATTTCACTCTGTGACCTCAAGGACGTCACCTTTCTCGGGGCCTCGGTCTCATGATTCATAAAAAGACAAGACTTGAAGTCTGCGGTCTTCGTTCCAAGGGGTTCTTGGGGTTCTGGAGGTGCCTCCAGACTGGGGTGAGGAGGCGGTGTCCCGGGCCTTCATCACCCTGGCTTCCCCTAAGTGGCTTCCACGTTTAGCTGCTTTCCTCTGGGGGTTCACACAAAGATTTTGTCTGAGAAAAGCTATCTATGTTTGGAATTCACCTGACCAGTGATCCCTGGGGAGCGTTCATGGGTGAACACGTGCTGTTTCTGTGAATTACCTGCCCTGCAGTGTCATTGAGATTTCTCCTTGCTGTGCTGGGAAAAAAATGTGTGTCGTCTACCTGTGGTTCCTGCCTCCCGGTCTCAGCCAGGGCGGAGGTGCTGACTGGCCTGCCCATCACCTCCAGCCAGCTTCCCTAGCCCTGTCCTGGGTCCTCACCGTCCACTCACCTGACTGTGGTTATTGTCCCCATATCTCCCCATCAGGTTGACACGGTGACAGTTCTTGTACCAGAAAGCCCCCTTGTAGGAGAGGGCACAGTTGGTGATGGCTGAGTCCGTGTCCTTGTCATAGGTGGAGAAGGATCTGCCATTGTGATAGGCCATAGAGTCACCTGGGAGAGAGAGAAAGTATGGACTGAGAAATCCCAGCCAGTGTTTCCTGTGGGCCGTGAAGAGCAGAGCCAGGGGTGACAAATGAAAAGGTCCTCGGGTGGGCTGGCTCTGGACATTGGACCCAGGATTAGAATCAAACACATGCCTGGATGGGACATGAGTGTCACCCCAAAGACTCATTTCTGATACAACCAGCACAACGGGTAGAAAGAGGGCTGCAGGTGGCTTCGGAGGGTCCAACTTCAAGTCCCATCTCCTTCGCCCCCGAGCTGCCACCTTGAACAAGTCAAGCCTCTTGCTGAGCCTGTTTCTCATCTGAAGAATGACCCTAGCACGTGGATTCAGTCTATCTCAGGATACTGCAGGGACCATGGATATGCTAAACAGGCAGAGTAGGATACAAATAGGAGTGTTGTTGTTTTTATGATCTTTTTGCATTCCCTTTCCATAAAGGAGCTCAGAGAGTGAGAAATCTGCATTTAATAATGGTGTGCTTTTTCCCCAAATTCAAGTATTCAGAGCCATACTTAGAAATAAACTCTTCATATATTAGTTGTCACCAAAGAGCCTGCGTATCGTACAGCTATTTTTCAAAGTGTTCATGGGACCAGTGTTCCCTGATTCTCAGACGAGAAGCTCATTTATATAGAGTGCTATTTGAGCATCTAGTTTGTAATTTAATATAGTGAATTTTAGGAGCATTTAAGTGCCGTTTCTTTCCGTGTCCCCTCACTACCAACCCCTGGCCAATGTTGTGCACCAAAGTTTCAAGACACTGAGGCATTCTACCCTGATACTTGGAACAAGTTGTCAGAGGGACCCAGGTGCCTTTTTAACTGAGAATAGCAGGTAGATATTGATGAAACAAGATGTTCTGCTGTGGAGGGCTGGCTGCCAGCAACATACACGGGAGAACACAGCCTTCAGGGCTTATCTTAGCAAAGGGACGTATTATGGCTCATTCACTCCTTAGACAGAGACGGGTGGAGGCCACATGCCTGCTGCCCCTGGCTTTGCTTTCCGTGTAACAATATCCTTCCTGCCTGAAGCCATCTCAACCAGGGAGGTATTTATTGCCAGGTAATAAAATGTCGCAATTCTTTGAAGGATGCAAGAACGAAAACAATTTTTGCCCCTGGGTGTCTCTTTTCCAGACCAGAATGATCTCGAAAGAGCTGGGTGCCTCCTCAGACTGAGCCTGGCTTTTGGCAAACTGGGGAATTTCACCTTTATGAATGGTTTCTTTCATGGCTCAGAGAGGTTGAAAATATCCCATAACATCTCTCTCTTTTGTTTTCAGAAACATAACTAGAAATCATCCCAAAGTGGGCATGGGTTGCATGGGGTGGTCACATTCTTTGGCCTCATCCTTTCTTGTTACCAAGTCCACCTGTCTCAGCCAGGCCTGTAGCCCAGGTCCACCTTCTACAAGCTGTTTCACCTTGGGCAAATTACCAAACTTGTCTGAGCCTCAGTTTCCTCATCTGAATAATAGCAATGTCTTCCTGGAATGCTTTTATGAGAGTTAAAATGGGGGTGATGCACTTGAAATATTTGCAAAAGAAGATGCCTCCTAGTAGGCCTGAATGCATAGTTCCCTTATTTATTTCTCCTCTAAGCTGAAGCCAGAAAACCACACAAAGGTCATTTCAAGCCAAAGGCAACTTTTAAGACCTGAACTACATTATGTACCAGACAAGGAATGACAGTACCAATTGAGAGAGAGTGAGCTTCTGGTCACAGGGTATGCAGGATGAGCTGGGATGACCACATGGTGGTGATGTCTAAGATGAGATTCAAACAGCTGGGTGATGGAGTGGATAGGCTGCTATTCAAAGTGCCACCCACAGACTAGTGACATCACCTACAGTGGCATCTCCAGGGAGCTCGTAGGAAAGGCAGAACCTTGACTCCACCCTAGTCATGCTGCGTCAGCCGCTGCGCGTTCACAGAATCCCAGGGCGGGTCACATGTACGTAATACATTGAGAAGCACTGGGTCAGATGAGTATTAAGACGCCTGAGAGTCTGTTTTTCTCTTAGTCTAAAACTGATATCTAAAAATGGATAAGAGAAAGACCTATTTTTTTGAGTGACAGTAGCTACAAATTGGTCCTGATTTCCAGCCTGCTCTATTTTCACGATGGAGATATCTACCCGATTCCATTCAATGGCAGACCCTCTGGATTAGCACCTAGTGGGGATTCAAGTATCTGTTGATCCAATAAGTGGATGGATTCATGGTGGAAGGAATGATGGCTGGAGGAACTAGCTGAAAGCACAAGAAGGTTTTTGTGGGTTCGGAGGCTAGAAGCGCGGCTGTCCCATACCTGCTGTCCCGCTGTACCCCTCCACCTTCAGCTTGTAGCGCGTCTTGGCATCACCCACGCTGAACCTGTCATAGACAGCATAGGCTGACTTCCCGTGGTCCCGCAGGTCTACTCGCAGCTCGTACTGCCCTTGGGATGTGATTTTGTTCAGGTTGTCCAGCCCTGTGGATGACAGGCAATATTGCCAAAGACGCACAAGTGACTGGGGCCATCATTTCTACTCCACCTGGTAAGAGCAGTGGCTGGGTGTACCCTAGAGAAGTCTGTGTTGCAGAGACCCCGGTTTGCAGCCTGGTCTGCTCTGTGCTGGTGCAACACCAGGCAAGACATGACGTTTCTGAGCGTCAGGTACAATCTGGTTGCCCTGCCCACTTCTTAGTGTATTGTGAAGATCAAAGGAGATAAGGGTGGAGAAAGCCCTTTTTAAGCAATAAACCACCTTACAAGTGAAAGGCAATGGATGATCAGGGGACAGACTCCCTGGCCCAGGCCCTGGGGCATAGGACAGTGCCCTTTGCAGGTAGGTGGTTGGAAAGAGTGAATTGCTTGGATGGATGGATGGATGATGGCATTGTAGAGTTGGCTTGGGAGATTTCAAATTGCAGCTCTATTGCTTATTGGCTAGATGCCAATGAACATGAAACATAGCCTCTCTGAGGCTCTGTTTCCCCGTGTCAAGAGGGGAATTTTGAACTTTGTGGGGATGCTATGAGTCTTAGAGGTTATGGCTCCTAGGGACCTATGTCAGCACAGGATGGAGGCAGTTAACGATATCACTAAGGACAATTCTAGAAATGGTCCAGTGAATGAATTAAAGCTTGGCTTATTCTTAAGGTCTGGCTGTTGGCTCTTCCCTGATTAGATTTTATTTTTAATGACTCAGAGAATTTAAAATCTTCTCTCTCGAGAAATTGAAATTCTGTGTCTACTACCAGTGCCGTTGTTTCTTCCTAATCCATTTCTCTCCCATAGGTTGCTGAAGGTTAGGACAAACAACAAGGAGGGTAGAAATGGGTATTTTCGACACAAACATGCAGGGCTACATTACCAAGCCAGAATTCTTCTCTGCGGTCCCCAAACCCAGTAGCATAGGCCTTCCAGTTTCGATAGAAATCCTCACGTCCATTTTTGCGTCTCAGGAACACCTGTAAACATAATCAATGAATCTGAGCGCACTTAAGCTATTGAAAGAAAGAGAAGGCATCTTTCTGGGAGGATGAAACATTGGACCGTGGGAAAAGCACCGGTCCATAGCTCTCTCTGTCACTATTTGCCATGTGACTCTGAGCAGGTCACCTCCTCTCTCTGAGCCTTGGTGTTCTCTTCTGAAAGATAGGGATTAAAAATACTGCCCAGCTTTGGATGAGAATGATTTTCAATGTAGGTTCATTGCTTGTAACAAATGTACCACTCTGGTGTGGGATGTTGATAGAGGGGGACGCCATGCGTGGGGGCGGGACACAGGGGTTCTATGCGAACTCTGTACTTTCTGCTCAATATTGTTGTGAACCTAAAACTGGCTCTAAAAAATTGTTTGTTGATTAAAAAAAATGCTACCCAGCTCATATGATAATGGGATTGAAATAATTCATGTAAAATTCTTCACATGGTGCCTGGTAGATAGTCAGTGCTAATTAATACACGTAATGAATTCGATGACCACTGTCAATGTTATACATCACAAACTTTTTGAGGACATAAATTACAAGAAAATTATTTTAGCCTGTTTTTTATCTCCAGTTTCTCTCCCATTCCTTTGTTTAAGAGATAATTCCTGAGTGGCTCTGTGTGACAGGCCTTATCTTGCAACACTTCATGCACATGGGGGTCACAGTGCACAAGGAGGACCTCCACCCCTCCCTGCTCCCCCTCGCGCCCTCTACCCCCATCCCCCATGCCTGAGAGCTCTGGAGTCTGTTTTGGTGACACTCACAATCCATCCACCCCCATCAGAGGTCATGTCACAGAAGACTTCCAGCGGCTGGGCCTTATCGCCATTCAGATAAATGGTGTAGAGGCCCGAGGTCGTGTCTCCATTCAGCATCGCTTGGGAGCAGTCCCTGGGGAATGGGTACAGGAGTCCAACTGCGGGATAAGGAGAAGGAATGACTCTCTTGGAGCTGGAAGACTAGGGTAGGAGCTTTCAAATCACAGCTCAACTGTTTATTGGCTAGATGCCTATGGGCAAGCCACTGCACCTCTCTGAAGCTCTGTTCCCTCATCTGCAAGATGCAGATAGTCCCATTTTTGTGGAGATGCAATGAGGCTTAGAGGTTATGGATAAATAGCCCATCTCAGTCTCTTCTATTGATGGAAGCTGCCTATGACATCGGTGGAGGAGAGCTGAGCCCCTGGAGGGGCATGTGTCAGGTCGACCTTGCTCTACCTGGAGCAGCCAGGCAGCACCTGATGAGCACCCAGGTGCTGGCCAGGATGGCTAGGTCTCTAGACCCCAGTGGTGGCTCGCTGTGGATCAGGATGTGCTATCAGCCCTATCAGGTGCATCTCGGTCTCTTTAAGGGATTCTGAAGCCAAAGACAAGGGTGTTCCTCCTGAACTTGCCCCCTCCTTGCCTTGGGACTTTGGAGAAGTCAGTTAACTGCTCTGAGCTTGGGAATCTTAGAGGGAGAAAACAAGAATTCCCAGGGAATTTCCAAGTTCAATAATGTGATGCAAGCAAAACCTTGACAGAAATGGACGTGGGACTGTGCTTAGCAGGTGGGTGGGAGAAGTCATGGTCATAGCAGTTCTTTTTTCTGATTCGACTTCCTCATTGCACTTTATCTTCATCTGAGGTTGCCTCATCAGCTGTTTCCTCGTTTATTTCACGGCCTTCGTCTGAGAGCATCTTTAGGGCACACTCATAGTTTTGTACTCCCAGCACCTGGCATAAGATCTGGCTAAGAGGTCCCTTTGCTTCTGCACCTCCCTCAGCAGGTGTGTGCAGAGTGGCTAAGGGAAGTGTGAAGGGCGGGAGGCAGTGCTGGGATACACTCTGTTACACTCTCAGCCCTCTGGGACACACAGCTGCTTCCTCTTATTCACCAATGGAACAGCGTGCACATTTGCCATCTGCAGAAGACACCTAGTGGCAGGATGCAGGGGGAGCTTCCCTGTTCCTGGGACGCCTGAGCCCGGCTGTGGCCCGGCTGCTCCCTGAGCCCCTTACCTGTGGTGAAGAAAGTCTGGACTAGCTTGCTCCTCAGGGGCCCATTCAATGCCTGGATCTTGACAGTGTAGTGGGTGGATGGGCTCAGCTCTGCCAAACTATAAGAGGTGGTGTCTGGACCCAAAATGACTTCCTAAGGGCAGAAGAAAGAATATCATAGCTTTTGGCCACATAAATCCTCAGGGTACAGATGATGCATACAGATCATTCATCCATTCAACAAGAATCCACTGAGCCCCACTCTGTGCACAGGCTCCATGCTCATTTCCGGGATGTCAGAGATGGGGAGCGTACAGCACAAGCAAAGGTCCTGGGGCCAGAAGGGGCAGAGTAAGTTAAAATAACGTGAGGAGACAATGACCTACCTCAACCATACTTCAGCTGGGGAAGCAGCGGAAGAGATGGACTAAGACCAGATTACAAAGGACCTTAAACGTCAAGCTATGGAATTTGAAGCTTATCATTACAAGGAACAGAGATTCCTGAAAGATTTTTGAAAAAGTGAATGGCATGAACCCAGCTTCATCTGGGGGCAAGATGAATCACACGAAAGACAAAGGTTTAGACTTTGAGACCAGTTGGGCTGGTGGGCCCTAAATATGGCTTTTTGTCATGGCCCTCTGGGAAGCTTTAAAATGATACAATGCCTGAGACCATCCCAGACTGACAGGACTGTGAGAGCCAGAAGGGAGCCTGGCCAGGTGCATATTTGGAAGCTCCCAGATGACTGAGATGCAGTCAGTTTGGGCATCTCTTGAGTCAGGATGCTATTATAATAGCTCAGTAGGCATGGCGTGATGAAGGCTTGAGCTGACCATCGTACCTCTTTTCTAGAACAGAGATCTCCAGGAGAGGTGGCTGTGTGCAGCTGCTGTGAGACCTAACTGCCTATGCTTGTCGTTTGTGACTGGTCACTGTGCTGCTGTCCAGAGGAGGGGATCGGCTTGAGTTTGCTAGAGATCCTCTTTCTTTTCAAACCCTCTTTCCAGCTTCCAATACCCAGGGGATCACTACTTAGCAGATGACCTTGGTTTCTGGGATTGGAATTCAGCCTACATTCCTAGCAAACCAAACATAAGAGTGCTCTCCACATCCTGCAAATGCAGCCGACTGGGTTTAGGCAGAAATGAGTCAGTGTGGAGGCCCCTGGAAGGTTCTCTCACATCCTCAGAATGGGGCAAGTGATGCTATCCTGGTTTTTCGAATGGGAGGCTGGGATTGAGTTTCAGAGAAGCTAAGACACTTGCATTCACTCCATAATTGGTTGGTGGCAGAGGATGGTCTTCCATTCTGCCTCCCAATACCCTGTCCAGGACTCTTTCTTCCTGTACCAAATTGACTTTCTTGAGTGAAACATAGAAAGCTGGGGCTGGGACATGCATGATGTAAGCCGAGGGAAGGTCCCATTTGATACCAGTGACCCAGTGACCTTTGTGAGGCCCCCAGCTCTGGTCTACGTAAGAAGGATCACTTATCAGTTACAAAGCTGTGCTTATTGAATTACTTCAGGATACAATTACCTATCAGCTCTCTAGGCTGCTGTACAAAGTTATTTTCTAGGCGATTAAGGTAACTCAAAATGAGATTTATGACTTCAGGTAAACACTGAATCCTAGAACGCCTGACCGGAAGGGAACTCAGAGATTGGTGAGTCCAGTGCATTTTACAGATGTGAACACTGACAGCCAGAGAAGGCAAAGGGCTTTCCTCCATCCACACGCTGAGTTAGTTCATTGTTCGACCAACTCCAAGAAGGGCCACGATAGTAACTAGCAATGTGTGTTGACTTCTGGTTAAGCATGATGGATTGGAAATGCAGTTTATTTCTGTTCACTTTTGATATCACCAAAATGAGAGTAATGGGCTAGAGAGTGTAAACCCACAAAGATGTGGGAAATGGCAGAGGAGACAGCAATGTGAATGCAATGTCAAGAGAATCTTGATAGATGGAAAGTGCATGGTGGAGTGACAGCTGAGGGGGCTAATTAACTAAGCGAACAGCACCTGTCAGAGGCTGGTTGACGAATGCCACAGAGCCCAGCAAGTTCAGGAATGGAATGTGTACAAAAGCAAACATGCCTTTGAAGGTCAGTGTGGGGTGGGGCCTGGATGAACTAAGGTTTGTTTAAAAGCTTTGTATAAGAAACAGATGCCCAGATCTCCCCATCCCCCAACAGTCTGTTGGACTGTCCTTCCCAGTCCAGAGGGAAGGCTGAGGTTTACTTTCTGGAGAGGCTGAGCCAGAGAGGAGACTCTGGATTCAAACCCACCAGGCCCAGCTATGCAGGAGGCCAAGGTGCTACACTGGAAATGGAAGAAGTGAAGATTTGTACCTTCTCCAGCTGAGCTCCTGGCAGCCTGGTTTGAAGGAGTTGGAGGATCCTCCAGGGAGATTGGTTAGCTTGAGAAAAGGCTTACAGTGCTGATACTTGGGAGTCCCCCCATAAAACTGCTGGGTACCCCCAAATCACTCTACCATGGCCCCCTAGTCGAGAAGCCCTGTCTACGCAATTGGAACTCCTCACCAGCTATTTCCTTCTTGGCTCAGGTACAAAAGGCCCACTGGATATTGGAAAGAAGTCTTCAACAAGAAAGATAAAGACCCAAATCCAATGAAACCAAACCCAACAGCAGCAGTGAAACAGAAAAGAAAAACTTGAAAAAAAAACCCTATGTAGGTTGTAGAAAAAAAGTACCAATAACATATATTCTTAGAGATAAAGAAAAGATGATACACAAGACAAAAACAAGATGCTAGAAAAAGATGGATGTGCAGAGAATAAGTAAAAGATCTTGGAAATATGAAGTATGAGGCCTGAAATTAAAAATTCAATAACAAGTTTAGAAGATAGAGTTTAGAAAATCTCTTGCACTTGCGTGAAGGGTTAAAGTTATTTCGAATTTAAAAGTAAAAGAAAAAAGTTCATGGGTAACGAATATAAATAGCATTAACAATTCTTATAAACAGTATTAACAGTTGATGTCATAAGGACCTGGTGATATATATTTCAATATATAATGGAATGATGCCATCTGTGAGATAATATATATGGCAAAGATGCAGAAGAAGCTGTTGGCCTTTGTTCAATAAAACATTAAAGGACTGAGAGTTCAGCTCCTAAAATGTCCTCAAGTCTTGTGAGCTGTGTTCTCGACCTTGGCTGGTTATCAAAATTGGAGTCTGGTTAAAATGAGAGACGCTGGAGCATGTGATTCAGAAAGTCTGGCATGGCGTCCTTTCCCTTTTAATTTTTTTTCAGCTCCCCAGATGCACTGGGTAAAGAAACACACCCAGATAATTCTTCCCTACTTTGAGGATCGTGTAAATGTTTCAACCAGCAAGCTTGGCAGTTATTTATATGTTTCCAGATACCTTGACTGTACCATCCACGGATTCATACACCAATAGGTAACCAGTGACAGACGCCCGGGGGGGTCGCCAGGTGAGGAGGGCAGTTTCCGACTGAACCTCAGTAGCAGTCAAATCTCTTGGAGAATCGAGGTCTGGAGAAGATAAGACACTCAATGTCAAATAAGTCAGTGAGTGTAGACAAAAATCCCAGCTGGGTATCTGGAGGCCCGGGTTCAAGTCCTTTCTCTACCATTGACCTATATGACCTTGGGCAGAGAATTTCCCCATCTGTGAATGAGGAGGTTGAGCTATGTGATCCTAAAGACATAAATTCTCTGTGGTTCATCTCATCCTAAGGGCCACATTTTCCCAAGCCCAACATGGTCCTGCCGGGCCTTGGCTGGATTTGGGGAGAAAGACACAGCTGTGAACATAATTACAATCCCCCCTTGTTTCTAAACAAGAGGACAGATGGATACTGGTATTGGCGCTCACCACTGCTCAAAGGACATTTCCTCCATTTCCCTGGTTTGCTGCAGTTTGTAAAAAAGATCTCAATGTATAAAAACCCAGCGGACATCTAGGAAAACTTGACTGAAAAATCTTGCTATTAAAAATATTTCCCTGCCTAGAACATGGATCATTAAACACCGGCTTTAGGGCCAATGGGGACTGGTTTTCCACTTAAAAATCCCTCTCTTAAAATCATTTCCTAGTCCGTGGGGAGAACAAGGTCATTTCAGTTCAAAAGGAAACGGTGTATTTCTGAAGGTCTTGATTGAGTGGGCACTGGTGAGTTTAGCTGATGCTGATGTCATCACATTGCAAGGACCTGACTTGAGAAGGAAGAGTATAGAGGGTTCCTGTTTAAGACCGAGTCTGTGGGTGGGCGCCCTCCAGCTCTGGGTGTCTTGTACCTGTTGTGAACTTGGTAGTGATGGCTGAGCTCTTCTGGGGCCCTTGCTCCGCAAAGATCCTCAGCGTGTATTCCGTGGCAGGCTCGAGACTGGTCAGCGCATACTCCACCGTGTTCCCGGACACCGTGCGTGTAATTTCTGGCACTGAACATGAAACACACACCCCGAGGCCGTTACCTTTCCCTGTCTGAGCCATCAGCGGACTTGGCACACAGCGCACACACCTACTTCTAACACAGAAACTTTCAGTGACCCTGCAGAAAAGCAGATTTGATTTCTGAAGTGGCTCACACCCCTTCCTCTCTCGTGAGCACTCATCTCATATACAAAGGATTTATCCTACGGAGACTGGATTTTTCCAGGCACCAAATCAGAGGGAAGAGGACTTGGGGGTAGGCAGTTTTTCCACATGGTGCCGTCTGGGACGGCGTTGCAGCTGAGGCACAGGGACCAGCCAGAGAGTTGCAGGCAACATCTCCAAGCCTCAGGCCACCCAAATTTAATTAGTCCCATTGCTTGCTCTCTCCTCTTTTTCACTTACCCATCCTTTTATAAATTGCCGAATGTTGTCAAATTATTAGGCTGGGGGTCACAAAAATTGGGTAGCAACAGACACAACAGCATGATCATTGCCTCTCAGCCCTGCTGGGTCAGGTCCAATGGTGGACATCAAACCATGATGTCCAAGGATATGTGTTTATTTCCTAATCATAGGTGCCCTACCATCCTGGCTTGCCCGGGACTGAGGGATTTCCCAGGGCGTGGGACATAGATCGATAAAACTGGGAAAGTCCTGGGCAAACTGGGACTAGTTGGCCGCCTACTCATCATCCCTAACTCCCTCCTCTTGTGGACCAGGCTCTTTTCTAGGCCTGCATCCACGATGTCCACGATTCCCAGGAACTACACTCTAACTTATTTTGGGGGACACACTATCATCTTCCCCGCCTGGGAAGAGGCTGCTTACAGGGAATATGTAAGAATGGAAAGTAAAAAGAATAAACCCAAACATCTCTCCTCCCCACCACCCACCAACTTGCTCTGTCCTCCGAAGAGCTCTCGTAGGTGGTTGTTAGGGCTGAATGAAGATTTTCAGAGGCCCCAGGCACAGATTGCGGTGCCCTCTCATATTAGTACTCAAAGTAAAAAATACTGAAGCCTAAAATATGAAACTTACATATGCTTGGGGGTTAAAACAGTAAAATCTAGCTCATTACAAAAGTATGGATTCATTTGTTGAAAACGAATCTCTCTTTCTACTCTGCTGCATTTGTATTTGACTTTACGTTCTGGTGGCCGTGGTTTGCTGGTGCCCCAAACAAGCATTTGATCTGTGAACTAAGTAAATCAGCACAGACGGTTGCAAAGACAGGGAGAAATGATTTCTGATTTCTCAATCAAATTTGCTAAACTGGCCTCCTCTGTGGCATCTGAGAAGCCTGGGCTCCCCAGAGCCACCTGAAGTAGCCTGTTTAAGGTTTAGATTCTGGAATCCTTTGTAAGAGATAAGAGTGCTGTTTGGAAAGGGTGACTCACACCGACAGGCAGAGAGACTAGCAGGAGAGGAAGAATGAGGAAAAGGCGGGGGAAATGTGGAGGCTGGAGATGGACTCTCTGTTTTTTCTTTAAATGGCCTACAGGACTCCCTTGACAGAACCACACTGTCTGTGCCCTTTCACTTGACAAGAAGCAGAGGAGTATGGATAAGGCCTCCCTTGTCACCCCCTGACAAGGTCCCTCCACACCCATCCACCCAGCCCCAGCCCATGAGTCTATTCTGAGGTTGCAATTGAGAGCCACAGGACATTGCTGGCCTTACAACCTACTCACGCATTTTTGTCATCTTGTACCAAATGTAGCATGGAGAAAGGAAAGCGGGAAGAGTTCATAGCAGGACAGTCACTCCTCAGAGTAGGGAGGATCTTGGACATGACCTTACCTCTCTCCCCTGTGTAGGAGATGACGTAACTGTCCACGGGGGCGATGGCCGGCTGCCATATGGCCAAGGCTTCTGAGTCAGTGATGTTGGCTGTCACCAGGCCAGACGGGCCATCCAGCGCTGCAAAGAAAGATGGCGATGTGTTGGAGAGATAGGCAATCATGGGGTAGGACATCAGAGCGCAGCTGCTCTGCTGTGAACACTGCTCCTGGACTCTTGGTGTTGGGGCACAGTGTCAGCTGCATGCACGGTTCAGAGTCCTGAGCTTGGAGCCAGAATGGGCCTGGGTTTGAGTCATGACCCCTTTCCTTGCTGGCCAGGTTACTCTGGCTCTCTATTTCCCACCTGTAAAAGGGGGACAACAATTCTGTCTGGCTTTATCCTGAGTGTTATTTTGATTTTCACATCATATTATAGACAGAAAAGTGCTATATAAACTGGAAAGAGCTGAACACATAACAACGGTTATCACTGTAGTTCCTATCACTTTCCCCAGGGAAAGAACTTACAAAAACAGAGGAGACTTGCAGAGTGAAGGCTGCCCCAGGCTTTCCTGGGCTTTGAGTGACAGCTCTGGTCCGGTGGCCTGTAGATAACATGGAGCCAGGCTCTGGGGGCTGATGGTCCCAGGTTCTACCTTGGCTTCTCTAGTGTCTAGTGTCTGTGCCCTTGTGTCATTTCCCTTCTCCAAACCTTGCTTCTTCACTTGTCAAAGAGTAGCTGCTGTAAGGATGAACTAGATGATGTGCATGAAATGTGCTAAGGGTGGCGCTCAATAATTGCAGTTGTTATTCATATGACTATTAAAGTTATTTGGAGTCTTAGATCTAATTTCCAAATGATTCATACAGAGAAAGGATGGATATTCACAGGGTCCTGGTCCTTTTAATTGACCACTACTACTACCCAACATCCCTTTCTTAGAAACCAACCTAAATATGACCATTTCCCTCTTGTGTTCACATTTATGACTCAACTTCTCCAAGATGGAAGCCCTGGGAGGATGGAGGGCAGCCATCATCAGCTCATTTTGCACATGGGGCTCCTGAGCATCAAGAGATGAAATGATTGGCCAAGGAGTCAGGAGGTGGCAGAGTAATTTTGGGGGCCCACATCGTCCACTCTGAGTTCCTTCCTGCTTCATCACGCCTGTACAGAATCTCCTTTAATGGAGGAGGGCAACAGGACCTCAGGAGGAAACACATCCAGCTGTTGCAATCCGTTGCCGTGGAGAATCCATGAATGAAAGATCTCTTTGGGGGAAATAAGAGCCTGTGTGGCAGGGTACACAGGACTCTGCGTTCAGATGGGATGTCTTAATTGCATATTATTAACTCTTTTAGTTATTAGGGTATTTTTGAAATTTCCTATGAGGCCCATTCTTTGGATCCCTTAATGGGTTAGGCTAGATAATTGTTCATATATCAAAGGGTAAATTGTTTAGAGACAGGGCTGTCTGAAGAGAAATTTTCCACTTCATTCTCCTTCAATGCAATTCATTATTTCCCCCTCCTTCCAGTGTGCTGTACAAATCAGGTTGTAACAGGAAAATAATCCCTTATTTTAGAAGAACACAGAATTTGGAGTCAGACCAACTTAAGTTCAAACTGGCTTCCTGCATTTACTAGTTTGGCCTTGGCTGAGGTACTTAATTTCCCTGGTCTCACTTGTTTCCTCTGTGAAATGGGAATGATAATCGCTATGGGGATGACAGGGGAGAGTTTAGTAACAGCGCCTGGAAGACAGTAGCTGCCCAATGGAGAGTCGTGCTTTATAGCCGTCACCATTCCATGCCTGGGGCAGCACCAGCCTGGAAGGAGCCTCACCATGGTCCCAGCCCTAGGCAGGGAAGGGAAGGAGGAGGATTAACGTGTAGAGTAGTGTAGAGTCGTTTACACTTACAGATGCTTTATATACATTCTTCCATGTGATTCTTATAGCTCCCTGCACAGAAAGCAGAATTGCACCCATTTTACAGAGAAGGAAACTAGACTCTAGAGAAATTAACTGACAGCTCATGTATCTAGAAGAGATAGACTTGGGATTCCAATCCCAGGTCAGCGTGACTCCTAGACTTGGCCTCTAACTTCTGTACCACCCCAGTAAACGGAGCCCCAGGGAGGTTAAGGATGCAGTCAAAGTTACCCAGCTCATAAGAGGCTGGGGATGAGGCTTCTGGTCCATCCAGTCCACTTTCCACTAGAATTTCCTAAATGGAAACTTTTTTCCACTTGCTGAGTCATGAGCAATAATGCTGAAGATGAGATAAATACCTGTGGTGAATGATCCAGAGACAGGCTCGCTTTCCTCAAAGCCCTTCATGGCGATGATGCTGACAAGGTACTCCGCACCAGGTAAGAGCTTCACCAGCCTGGTCTGAGTCTTGGTTCCATCCACAGTTACCACCGAGGGAGTCCCTGGAACACAGGAAAAGCAAAATCAGGAATGGTGAACCCCACCAAAATTTACCGTTGCCCCAAGAATGGGTGTCTCCGATTTGGAAATGAAACGATATCTTTATCCAACCATTTTCTCGACTTGTTCTCATTTGCTCCTACCCTCTGGCATAAGAGAAAAGGTCTTACTTTTTGCATAATGCTTTTTCCATCCCTGCAGATGCCAAAAACCGGGCCAGAAGAGGAAAAAACACGAAGTCACAATGTGCTAAAAATGACAAGTTTCCGTTCAGTAGAGAGCTAGCATGTTGTGCAAATTTTATTTATTTTTTCCCACAAAGAATATGGGAAGCTCACCATGCAATGCATATCTGATATAGTTAACCCATTGTCTTAGCTTAGGAAAATACGGACTCCCTTTCCAGCAGAGATTCTACTACGTAAGAAAAGAAGATAGTCATAGTCAAGTTTGTGCTCTTATATGTACTAAAAAATCTAAAATTTATATTTCTTTGAATTTCTGGGCTGATGAAGAGCTTGTGCATGTGCTGGTCAAACTCCCCATAGAGATGGTACGCCTTTCCCTGAAGAGGTTATCAACCATCCTCTCTGTACCTTCTTCCTCGAATGGCGAATTTACCACCTGATGGAATGTCTTCACATTTTCCCCGTGGTCTCTGTTATAGCCCGTGTGCTCTGAACCAGAACTCCCAACTCTACTGAGACACAACTCCTCATCTTATACTGAGACAGACGGGTTTTGGGGACCCAAGGGCAAAACCTCACATATATCCAGGTCAAGATCAGCTTTCAGATGCGTGTACTCAAACAGAAAAAGGCCAACGTATTTAGCGTCTTCTGTCAGTATGTGAAAATAATATCGGGGGGTCTAGTTCTCATCGAAGTTTAGAATTTCAAGGCTGGAAAGGGTCTTCATAAAATCACCCTTTGCAAGGTCGTTTCTTCCAAGGATCTCATAGCACTTTACAAATGAAGTTTATCTGGATGGTCTCAAACGTGAGGAAGTAGTTTTCCTTAGTCATGATGTTTGGGAGGATGGACCTATCAGGTTCTCTTTCCTATTCCCCCCAAACCCTCCAGGTTCCCCACCCTTACCCCCTCCAAGTCCCCTACCTCCTGCAATGGGCACGTAAGTAATCCGGAAGCTCTCCACCTGGGCAGTGGGCGCCATCCAGCTGACAGTGGCGGAGTTTTCAGTGATGTCTGAGAAAATGATTTCCTTTGGGGAGCCCATAGCTGTCAAGGAGAAAGCACAGGAAAAATCCAGAACTAGTTAACTAGATAGTTGACTATTTGCTCATCAACGATTCTTCCTGGATTCCTCATCCAGGAAAACTCAGCCCCTAGAGTTTGCACACAAGCTAAGCCTTTGGGATGGAGAGTGTAGCCATCTGTGGTCAAGTTGTGACATGATAGAAACAACCATTCTTTCGTTCAGGTAGGACAGCCATTTCGTTTCACTCAAGGAGGATGTTAACACCACAGCTGGTTTCTAAGGAAGTGAGGGTCAGTGGTTTCACACCTTGGAATCCATGCTCCTTTTGTTTGAATTTTAGCATTTTTTCAAATCTTTGCTTTCTAGTTCCTTTTATTAAATGACACCAAAACCTGACAACTTACAGTTCTTTGCAATTTATAAGGATTAATCCTCATTTAGAAAGCCCTGAGAAGATGGTGTGGTTGTAGCCATTCTACAGAGGAGTAAACTGAGGCTCAGTTCTCCAATGAGCATTCTCTTGCTGTGACCTTTCTGGGTCCCTGGACTGGGCTGCGGAGCTGACGCAGCTCCAGGATTTGGAAATATTGTGCCTACAGAAACTAACCTCGACAAACCCATTCCCAGAACTGGATAGAGGTCTCAAGCCAGGCGACCCACCTCAGGCCCATCACCAAAGCAAACACCGTGGGGACGTGGGGTCTACCTTCGGGGAAAGCCATGTCCCAGGGGCAGTTTATGTAAATACCTCCCCCGGAACCCACTTTCCTTTGGCTTTTCTCGGTGTATTTTTTGGCTTAGTTTCTGCCCTCTTCAGCTGACCACGCTTAACCAGAGAATGCAGGAAACAATTTTCAGGTCTCCAGGGAGCTCACTTCCTCATCTTTTCCCCTCTCCAACCCACGTTGATCATTAAGTTCTAAAACCCACAGCCCACTGCGGGAAGGATTTTTTTCTCTCCGTTTCTGTCTTTTTCTCTCCTTTATGGCCTTCTCCTGGGACCTGGTAGCCATCCCCAGCCCACCCCTTGGAAAGCTCTGGAAACCACAAGGGCTCTGGAGCCTGAAAGATCTTGTTTGTCCAAATACCACGGAGAGGCTGGGCAACCTTGGGCCGGTCCCTTCACTTTTGGGAGCCTCATCTGGTCAGTGGGAAAAGTGGTACCCACCTTCAGGGATGTTTAGAGGATTATCAGAGATCATGATGTAAAAACCCTAGCCCAGAATCTGGCACGCAGTAAGAACTCAGTAAACAGGATCGCCCTGCCTTTCTTTTCTTTTGCATATGACTCTTTTGTCCATGGGCCACCCTGGATTTTGAGGTGGTCCCCAGCAAAGATCTCGATGAGGCCAGTGGAGCAAAAAACCCCAGTGAGGTGTATAAACTCAGGTATTGAGTCTGTCCTGCTGCCAGCCTGGTCCACTCTGGCTTTCAGCATGACTGAAGACGTCACTGGTGCAAGTCCCGACACAGGGTAGAAGCTGTATCTTATGGCCACAGCTTTCCCTTCCAGATCCCAGTGTCCTCATCTGCAAACAGAAATATTTTCTGCCATGTCTTAGAAACCATAAGAACTAGTAATGTCAGCCATCATGCAGTCCTGAGGATGTGCGTGATGAAGCGGCAGCATGAAGATAGCCATTCGTAACCCGAAGGAATGGCACAGTGGTGGTGGAATCCAGGCTCAATGAGCATGATATTTTTGGTCAACAGACCTTGCCAGATGTGGAAGACTATTTGCTATTTTAGCATGTCTTCTTCTGCCATAAATAGGGTCCCGAGTCTCCAGCACTATGGCAGAGGAGATGGCCAATGGGAACCTGGAGATAAAGCCTCACAGAGAAACTAAATCATCCTCATTGAAAAGTTGAGACCCAGGCATGGACATACCTCTGTCTCTCTTTCCAAGTGGTACTCTTGATTTTCAATAAAAACTCCATCAGGGAAACACCTGGAATTGATAGAAACTCTCAAGGTGTTCAAAGAGGGCTTCTATCTAACTACTCTCGGCATAAAAAAGTTGCCTCCTCAACTCTGGGGCAAATGTCTTTAGTTATGCGGCCATTGACAATCATTTTAAAAAACCATTTCCCCTTCAACGTATTTTTATTGAACACTTAATATGTGTCAGGTCCTATGCTAAACTAAGGAAACAGTTCTTGTAGCCTGTAGGGTTTAACAGCAAGGATATTAGAGTTAGACTGACCTAGGTTTGAATTCCATTCTGGCCTTACCAGCTAAAAACACCTTAGCCTCTTAGGTCTCAGTTTCCTCGTCTGTGAAATGGGGCTGAAAGTGGCAGTCACTTGGTCTGGTTGAGTCACAGTGATTCAGTAAGGTAGAGTGTGTCAAGCACCCTTCTGCACATGGCATAAGGATGTGCTCTATAACTGGGGATTACGGTCTTCATGCTTTATGGGAGTCAGAGCTGGAGGCAGCCAGCATAAAGAGCCTGCTTCGTACAGAAGGGGGGATTGCCGAGCACGGGTCTCTGCAGACCTGCTGAGCCAGGCCCCCAGACATAATGCCACCGCCACTCTGTGGTGTGTGGTTTCATGGGCATCTAAACTGGAACTGAGCAGAGGAGCCAAGAGGCTGCCTGGCTAGGAAAGGTGGGAAGAGATGGGAGGGGACATGTTCTGGGAGCTGGGAGAAGGAGCACTGACTACCCCCATTGGTCTCGGGGGTGGAAGGGAGTTCAAGAGGTGTATGTCTGGGGGCAGCAATGGGGGTAGGCTATGGAAGCATTTCAGGGGCCTCACTAGTCCCATGAGGTGGCCTATAAGAACCTCTAGAAGAGAATGACAAATTTGTCTTCCCCCATGGCTGGATTTTGAACTATGGGGACCCTCTAGATGGTGCACAGATAAATGTTGGCATTTAACTCCCCAGAGGGAAAGGAAGCGGCTGGCAACTCTGGGCCTCCCAAAAGGGGACCAAGGCTACTGTGAAGCAGTGGCTCAAACCACAGAGGGGAAGAGGAGCCATTGCCAATGCAGGGATTGACTGACAGAAGGAGGAGAAAAGTCATAACCTAAGTGTCCATCAGTAGGGGAACGGTTAAATCAATAACATATATAGAGGAATCTCTGAGATCTAGTAATAAGCAAGAAACACACATACACACACACATACTCCACAACAACAATGTGTAAGAGTGGGTACATTAACTATATGCCCCAAAAAGCATTCAAAAAAAGAACTTAGATTTATATCTAATTTTGTCTGTTTGTATAGAATATTTCCAGAACAATCCAGAAGAAAGTGGTAACATTGGCTGCCTCTAGACAGAGCACCTGGGTGGCAGGGACACAGTAGAATAGAGACTTCACTGTACATCCTTTTTGAACTTTGAATTTTGATCCAAGTAGTTCATTAAAAATAAAATTTACATTAAATAACCAAACACAACAATAGCTAATATCGTTACAGTGAGTAAGGAAACTCTGCTAAATAGTTGGCATTCATGATCTTATTTAAACATCACGGCTGGCCTTTGAGGTAAAACCTATTTGCCAGATGAGGGCTCTGAGGCTCAGAGAGGAAAGGAAACTTGCCCAAGGTCACACAGCTGGTAAGAGGTATGGCCAGGATTAGACCAAGTAACCTGCCCAGAGGCCCAGAGGCTGCAGGCTTAACCACTAGGCTATGCTGCCCCTCACCACCCTCTCTGCTGCCTGGGGCCCTCAGGGCTGGCAGCCTGTGCTCAAGGAGAGGCACTTTGTGAACGAGAGGAGGAGCCACAGCAGGTTTTATAAGGAAAAAGAGGAACGGACCATCACAGACAAGAGTTGACAATTGTGCAAAGGAGGAAAGAGAGAAGTGAGGATGAGAAAGCAGAAGAGATACTTCGTAAAGCTGATGACAGGAAGATGGAAATTAGACATCAGTCTGCTACGCTTGAGGGTCACCTCTCCTGTCCTCCCCAAGTACTGGAGCACAGGCGTGCAGGCACACGTGGGCACACAAACGTGCATGCATGCGCGCATGCATAGACACACACACACACACACACACACGCACGCATACTTCTTTGGCTGTGAAATACAAAGCCTCAGAGCAAGAAATCAAAGAAAAAGTTTTCTGCAAGAGAAGGATCTGCTTTGTCTTTTCTTTTGTTGTTAAAAAAAAAAGCTCATGATTATTCATTCTCCTTTTTTGCTTTAGAGCTGCAGGGCCTCTAGAAAAAAAGATCAGCAAAACAAAATCAGTGATCAGCAGTAAACTTTGAAAAGCAGTGTTTATACACCAAGGTCAAAATCGGGCTCTGCCTCTGATCTCCATTTGTTTTATGGGAAGCCACAGGGAGGAGGAGACAGGACCCACATCCCGGGGATGGGGTGTCTGAGTTAACTAGAAACAGGGTTTTTCCTCTGACTGAACTGCTGCCTGGACTCAGCAGCCCCTCCACATCTGCAAATACCGATTATGATGATTTCCGTAGGTGGCTTCTTGGAGCTCATTAGGTCCTGAAATTTGACATCATAAAATACCCGTCTCCAGACAAAGAGAAGAAGGTTTTGGCTAGTGTTATGCTATGCCTGTCAGAGAAGGCAGGTAGGTCTGGTGGTTGGTTATCTGTCACCCAGCCTGCTAACATTTAACAGTACTAAAATAAGTCAACATTCGGGTTCTACCCCAAGTCTGGCTGTGTGACCTTAGGCAAGTCGCTTCACCTTTCTGGTCCTCTGATTCTTCATGCACAAACAGAAGAGGCTGGGCTGCATCATTTCTCAGATCCCTTTTACCTCTCCCTGTGATTTTGTGATTCTTTCCTCTGGTTCCTTTTGAAGCAGCCATCTCTAGTGAATGCTGTTTCTCCAGCTCCCTCAGTTTCATGAGAGAATTCACCCCACCTCTTGTAAGTCTTTCCTTTTCCCTCTAAAGAGTCATGTTAGTATTATTATTCTAAAGAGTCATGTTATTCACCATCTTCCTCTTTTTCCTTGAAACAACTCAGTGTGGAAAACGGTTTTCATTTCTCCCTCTAGTGCCTTTTAGAGTTGCTATGAGTATCGGACAAAATTAGTGAGCTTCATGAAGAACAGCCTATTAACCTTGCCAGCTTCCTCTTTTTTCCCTTCCCCATCATGGTACTGATTATTCACACATAGCATTTTATAAATATTGATTTTTATAGGTGGAGGTACCACTTTTCCATTATCCCTGCCTAATATAATTTGAACGTTTGACCAAAGAACAAAGAAGTGTATCTGTGGATAAAAAATGACGAGATAATAGGTAGAAGGAAAGTCTTTGGAAATTACAAAATTCAATGTGTTAACGACAATACTGAAAACGTGGATAGCTCTCATTTGCTGAGTCCTTGCTATGTGCCAGACTCTCCACTACGAACTTTCTACGAATTCTCTCTTTTAATCCTCACAATGCTATTCAGAAAATGGTATCATACTCTTTTTGCATAAAGACTTAGCCAAATCGTCTGTCGTCTGTCTACAATCAAAAGAGCCAAGATCTGAATGCAAGCCTGTCTGCGTCTGAAGCTCTTGTAATTTCCCAGCCCTGTGAGAAGAAGACCCCAAGCTTGTGACTATTCTCTGGTTTCTCCTGGTTATGTACGGTACCTGTTGTTGCTATAGCACTGACTGGCTGGGACCGCCTTCCATTGCTTATTCCATAGAGTTCAATTTCGTATTCAGTGGCCTCTCTGAGACCTGTTATGTCCCTGGTACGTTCGGGGGCAAGTAGGGTTATTTCCAGTGGCTCAGACTGCTTTTTGGTATCTCTGATTTTGAGAACAAAACTGTCGAAGACCCCTTCATCAGCTGTCCAGGACAGACGGAAACCGTCTGGGGTGGCATCTGAAACCAGAAGGTTGTCAACTTCCGGCTCGGCTTCTAGAGGGGGAGAAAATGGTGGAGGGAGGAAAGAGAACATCGTTTACCAGCCTGTGCAAACTTCTCTCCAGTGGGAGTATCAATACGTGGTGATGTCCTGGCTCTCAGAGACACAAGTGTCCTGAGATACAAAAATAAAATTATTCAACACGAACAAATCTAGTAGGTCGAGGAGAGGGGAAAGGTGGAGTTGACACATTCAACATAAGCCAAGTGGATGCTTGCATATGTGAATTTTGTCTAAAAGCAATTCTATAAATCCACATCTGGACTCAGCGTTGGCCCCACCCATGCATTATTAAACAAGTTCAAAGCCAGTAACTTGTTTACATTTGCTCTCTGTCTTCCAGTGGCTGAGTGCCCATCCTCTGCGAGACCTTTTTCTTTTCTTTTTGAAAAGACAAATAAACCAGCATTAACGATCTGTAGAGCTGCCCATGATGATACTGCTGATTATATTTCCCTTGATCCTGAGAAAAATGGCTTTTAAACTGCTGTAAATGTTATAGTCTTTTTGCTTTTTTTGGGAGCTGTTTTACTAAAAAAGACTCCTATTCTTGACTTTCTTGTTTGCTTTTTTTAACCGTTAGATGAGTACTCGGATGGCAGAACTGAGGCTTGGAACCTCTTGTGCTACATACTTTGGACTCAAGGTATTATCTTGGATTGCCTTAACTAGACAAAACTCAAAGTCAAGGTAAATTTTGACCTGAGTTTCCCAAAGTGCACTCAGAGTATACTATTCCTGTTTGATCCTCTTCCTTAAAAGGTATCCATTGTCAAATAAGTTTGGGAAATACTGCCAGGGTAATTCACTCTTGAAGAGGCACATGCACATTAGGACGTTCTGCAAAGCCTTGTGGTCCAAGATCTTGTCAAACTATGTGTAACTCAGTATTTCCAAAACTTATTTGAACATGGAACTTCTTCACCAAGTGGGACCTTTGAATATTCTATGGAGCCAGTAATCTCTAGAAAGACTTTGGGAAACACAGATTTTTGACGGTTAAAGTTGTTAATGCTACCTTTCTCTAGGAATTATTAGCCTTTAGAATATTATGGATTTAGTCTGTGTTGGAGAAGCTCTATGATATTAGTGTTTACCAATATAATAAATTCACAGTTGGTTTTCCAAAGACAAGCCCACGCAGCAAGTTTATCAGGTCACAGTTGAGATTTTGAGAGGGCAAAGGTTGTAAATAAGTTTTTGAAATATACTCTTTGGTATATTTCCTTTGAGAAGGCTGAAATTAGCTGAGGACCAGCCAGGATGAACACAGGGGAGGGTGATGTGGAGTAAGCACACAAGAGCAATGGACAAGACATGGTCTAGAAGATTTGGGACACGAAGTGGAAACATTTCGACCTTCTCATTTCTGGAGCGGGAGAAGGGCGTGCTCATTAGAGACATAAGACAAGGGAAAGTGTTGAAGGGAACATAAAAGAATAAGCCACATCGATGGATTAAGTAGAGAACATGGACAGGGATATTAAAACCATGGTGATCTGGTAGATGAATTACATGGAAGGGAACCAGGAAGAGGAGAAAATGGCTCACTTGAATCAAAATACCTGTAACAATCTCAGCCCTCAAGGGCTTGGTTTGGTGCCCTTGGGTGAAGCCAGAGACCATAACCTCATAGCCAATGCCAGTTATGAGGCCTCTGAGCTCCAGCTTCCTCTGGGTTCCTGAAAGTGTGAATTCCTGGGGATCCAGCAGCTTCCCAGAATCCACCACCGTTACTAGGAAGCTGTCAAAGGCATTCTCCGATGCCATCCAGGAAACTGTGAACCCGTAGGGATTAATGTCGGAAATGGTTAGGTTTTCCAGAAGGGGCAGGGCCTCTGAAAGAAGGGAGGGATGAAAATAACTCAGGTTAGCAGCACTGACTCTTCTGGGATAGCACAAGTCTCCACGAACGCTGATAGATACCCAGTCAATCATTAAATGTGTGATAGGCTCAGAAATGAATATTTAGTAAGAGCTTACTTGATGCCAAACAACATTATCTTGTGTAAATCTCTTAACAAGCCTATGAGATAGATATTATTCCCATTATACAGGTAAGAAAATTGAGCTTCACAGGATTGGTTGACTTGACCAAAGCCACAGAGCTAGCATGTCATAGAGCAAGGTTTTTAGCTGAGTCTCACTCCAAAGGCCATGAATTTTCCCCTATAAAATTGGATATCTTGTGTTGGGTTTGGACCACTTTCTCTACTTCCCACTGTCTTCTGGTCTTGAAGGGAAACAGCTTTTTTCTTTTTTTTGAAAACATGTTTCTTTTTGCTACACTTCTTATGTTTCTATTTCCTTCTAGTTCACATTTTGAATCCTGTTGATTAGACCAATTAGTGACATACATTCTCGTAAGCTGAGATAAAGGGAAGAGGTAAGACTTTTCATGCATCAAAGTTAACAAGTTAAGGTTATGGCCCAGGAAGAGCCATAAGAATTTACTGATTCTTTTGCTATTTATTTTCCTGGATAAAGTTAGGAGTTAAAGACAGGTCTGAATCTTTAGTAAATTCTGTCGTCATCATTTGTTCATTCATTAACCAAACATCTATATCTCAGGCACTCTTATTTCTTAGGTGCCAAGGGATCTTTCCATGCATCGGGATTCCCCAAAAATGTGAGCTTATATCAGCTAAGTTTCTGTCAATACTTCCCAATTGACAAGGCTTTATGTCCATTATCTTATGGAATCTTCACAACAACACCGTAAAGTACATATAGCTACCTGCTCTCTCACCCCCATGACATCTAAAGAAACAGAGAGATAAATGGCTTACCCAACATCACATAGCTACTAGGTACCTAGCTGGGATACAACCCAGAGCATCTGACTCCAAGTGCAATGTTCTTTCCACACCCTATGCCAACGTCTAATTATTCAACCCCATCAGTGCTGGCAATTTCTGAGACATGAGCAGGATTAGTGGGGAATGTCCAGCATCTCCCCTCAAGTAAGACAAAACACACTAATGGTGAATGTATTTCTTTTTTATCGGAGGGGCATGGGGTTGGGAATTCCACGGCCAAAACTGCTGGAGCTGCATAGACTTTAAAGCCTTCTTTTCCATTGCAGCTAAATGGAAACTTCCAAAGAGATAAACGACCTTACTCAATGCCCAGAGTTTAATCCACAGGATGTAAAGAAAAATATTTTAAAAAGAAGTGTTTGGTGACTGAATGAACAAGTGAACAAATGCCCTCATCCCCTAAGCAGAGATTTAAGTTTTCGTTGTAGCTTGGACTTCCTGTACTTATTTTGAAACACTTGGTGTTTATTTTGAGACTTTTTTTTTTTTTTACCATGTAAAGACCTTCCCCAAACCATAACTCTATCAAAGGTAAAGAGGAAATCACATACACTGTGCAAACAGGCTTCCTTGTCTGCAAGACAAGAGTCTCAAATGCTGCTGCAGAGTTTTGTTTAGAGAAGTGGAGTTGCTCTTTGATAGCTGGCCTCTTTGCACCTCCATGCCATCAAAGCAAAGGAATTCCAATGAAAAAGAGTGCATTCAGGCTAATTAGTCAATTAAGGGCTTGTTATTTACAGTCTCTCATGTTCAGTTTTTTTTTCTCTTTTTTGAATATGCTTCTTTTAAAACGCAGAAGCTTTTCGCTTCAAGGATTAGCGGAGACAATGCTGTAACCGCATCCAGGATTCCCAAGATCAGCTCTCCCAGCATCCCTTTCTTCTCTTTGTTCTGTGGGGGATCAGGCAAGAGGCTACAAGTAAAGGCCTGATGGGATCTGCGGCTGGCCATTCCTCCCCTTCTGGGCAAAGAGATTCTCGAGTCCTGGCTCCCTCCTCCCTTCCCCCAATGCTCCACTAAGGAATTACCTTGTTCTGCATTTGAAGACTCTCTGAATGATTGAGTTCACATTACATAACTAGACAGGAAATCTAAACACTTTTGATCTCATATTAAAACACGTCCAATGTTCTCTTAAAAATAATCAAAAAGCCATGATTGCATAGGTCTATTGTTTCTATCTAGGCTTGTTCCTTATTTTTAAGAACACCACTTTCCTCATACTGTTGGAAGACCGCAGAAAGGCCCCAGCCTCTGTAAAATGCTTACTGGATGCCAGGCAGTTAAATTTCATCATATCCACTTAATGCCTGTGACAAGGCTGCCAGAGGTACCTGTGGGTATCCTTTCTTCATACATAAGAAAATTGGGGTTCAGAGCAGTTAAGAACCAGACAAGGTTATACAGCTAAAAAGACACGGGAGAGGGTTAGAAACCACTCAGGCTTGATCTCAAAATCTTGGCCTTCTAGGACTCCATGCTGTCTCCAATCAAATATTTAATTGAACTTATTAATATATCTTATTTACAGCAATTTAGACCCTGGGAGAGGCCTGGTTTAATGTGAGAATCAGACAGCAAAGTCAGTCTCCTGAAAATTATCGTTAGTGGGAGGCAAGGGACTTCTAAATATTTTCTGAGGTTTTTCAGGCTAGAGATTTGGTAAATCAACACCATTTGCAGCCTTTGCCACTGATTTAGGATAATCTCAGGAGAGAAAATAGAAAACCATTTCTTTATGTAATTCAAGGAGAAGTTAGAAGTCAAGTGTAATGGATGGGTAAGGTTTTAAACTTGGGACTTCTCTGCTATCCTAGGTTGAAGCTTCATCTGTCGTAGATGTTAATTTTCAGAAGAAGTATTTTTTACAAGAAAAAGATAAATTACTATATTTCTGGGACAGGTCGTTTATGGACTGCCTTACCTAGCATGATTTATGGACAAAATTCCTGCCCTAGGCCTTTGTTAACTTAGAACTCACTCTTTAGCCAGAATCTCCAAACTCTGGCTCAGACAGCCTATATAACTGGGTGTGAAAATCCTAGGAAGCTTTATACAACTGTTGAGTACACTGTCTCCATTTCCTAGGAGTGGCTGTGAAAGACCCCTCTTTGCAGTAGTCTCTGCTCTCTTTTCACTTGGAGGTTTATATAAGGAGTGAATAATGTATTTAGGATTGAATTTCCCTTTAGAATGCCTATCACCTTTTTCCCCTTACCCCGTCTCAGAATTCTAAACAGACAAGTGAGAACCTTTGAATGAGTACCTGTCACGACAAAGGCAGTGAGGGGTCTGCTGGGGTCCCCAGCCCAGGTGGTCCCTGTCACACTAACATCATAGCCAGTGTTCTCCACCAAGCCGGTGACGTGAGCATGCTGTGCATCTCCTGAGACTGTGAATTGCTGTGACTCATGGAGCGACTGAGAATCACTAACATTGATAACAATCTTTGCAAAAGGCCCAGCTCGAGTGGTCCATGACACGTTGAAGCTGTCAGGAGTAATATTGCTAAGGATTAGTATGCCCAACTGTGGCTCTGGCTCTGAAGGAGAAGGAACATGGGCAGAGAGAAAAAGAGAGATATTATTATAAGAAGCTGTGGACTTTTCCAGAATGTAGCCACAGAACATGAAAGTATCAATCCCTCCAAACATTTGCAGAAAGGTAGTATATTAGGCTGTGTCTACACCTGCATTGAGTATATTCCTAGAGATTATACTGCTTTATCTGCAGAGGTGAATTTGTTTTCTTTTTAACTATAGTCATGACCATTTGCTAGCTAAGTATGAAGAAAAGTGGACAAGCCATTAGAGTGGTAGGTAGGATTAAAGTAAAGAGTATTTAGGCTGTATTTTCGAAGGTTTGTAGTGGAGTGCTGAGTCAGATGTTCCAAGAAAAGACAGCTTCATGGTGAAACACTGAATATTATATCTTACCCTAGAGATTCACAAAGCATGCTAGCAGGCTCTGAAATGCTAGTTCTGTAAAGAAACCTATTTAATTTAGTTTAGCCCAGCATTTCATTGACTTATGGATCAATGGGCACCTTTTCTAAGGAATATCCTTCGAACATCTCAAGGAGCTGGTGTTCCACTGAGCATGCCTTAGAAAATGCTACTTTGCAGTTTCCTTATTTAGTCTTCTTTTGATCTATTTGGATTGTAGACATTAAAGGCTGACATCCATACAAGAGAAATTCTCCATAGTATTTACCCACCATGGGAAAACCTACCTCTCAGCCTAAATACTGTCAAGGTGAAAATGGCTTTCATTAACAAATGCCTGGTGCATGCAAAAGGTAAAGGAAAGCCTGAAGTTAGGCATTGCATTTTCTGATTAGGAAAATTCTCTTATTGGATAATTTGGAAAGATGGATGGTTCCGATGAGGTTAAGTTTCTCTTGTCCCTTAAAGTCTAGACAATTAGTGATAAGAGCAATTCCTTTTTAATGTGGGGGGCCTGTACTATTAGTTTCAATGGGCATGTGCATGGTCTGGCCTCCTAAATGTGCATTTATCAAATAATACGAACATTAAAATAAGTTCAACTCAGACTGTATTTTAGAGAGAGGCAACAGTCCTGGAAGACTGAGGTACTAGGACCGGGATTTAGGGTTGTGAGGAAGCAAACTATTACTTCCAGGGACTTGGGAGTTGTCTTGCTGGAACTCCAGCATTTGGAGGAAAGAAGGATAAACTTTAACTGGACAACCACACAGCATACTCAATGCCATTAAACCTCTAAGGACAAAAAGGATCTGGCTCAGAAGCAGAACATAGCTGTAGGTAATGGCAAAGGAGTTCCTACTTAGCAATTAGTTTGAGAAGCTAATGATGCGATCATTTTCAGCCACAGCATTGGCAAATTACCTCACCAAAGTAATAATGGGACTCTGTTTGCCCTCTATTTTGTTGTGGAAGCAATCTCCTGAATTAAGAATGCATGTTAGGATTTTTCTCATGCTACCAGACAGAGACTGGCAGTGCCAACACCTTCACCAGGCAGAATAAGACCAAGGTCCTCAAGGTCAGCTTTACCTCCAGCTGTCTCCCAAAAGGTTCAACCAAGCTGAAAAGTGAGATGCAAGAAAGAACTCAGAAAGAGAATGGTACTTAGGGGCGGTCAGTGTTCCATGCAAGCTAGGGGCATTTTTCTCTCATCACTTCTAAGCTTTTGACACAATTCCTTGACACGCTGTTCTGCTCCCAGGAAAGATAGACATTTTCAAAAATTTAGTGCTCTGAATGTTCACCACACGCACCAAGATTTGGACAAGATGATGGAGGAAAGGAAGACCCCGACATGTTGTGACAGACATCAGTGGTTGACAAAACATGCTTGATAGAGTCAATGTCAAAAAGAGCAGTCTGTTTGTAGGGAATGCAAGCAAAAAAAAAAAAAATCTCCAGAACAAGATGAGACCACTGGGTCCTCTCATGTGGTTCTTGGGGTGTGTTTTAGGATCATTTCTCTGCATGCTACTGGCATCACTTTTCAAATCTTGGTGGAGAGAAAGAGAATGTAGAACATCCTGACCAAGGAAGCAAAAATGGCATGCATAGACCTCTTTGAATATGACGCAGGCAAACTTTGATTAGAAAGACCACAGGCAGATGATAATGGGTGGAAATGGAAATGATTACTCAAGATCAAATGAAAGGATGGTTTAGAAATTCAACCAAAGTAAGTCAGGTTAACTCTATACAAACAAGCAGAGCAACTCCAGATGTGAATGGATATTTAGGAAAAGGAGGTTGACATTGAACTTCCTTAATTTGGGGTGAGAGTATTTAAAGTTTTAAAACTCTGATTTGAGTGGCCCTATCAAATTTGAGAAGGATGCAGAGGAACTAGGAGGATGAAAAATGGTAGCGGGTGACCTTTTGGAATGTTCCTCAGAGAAAGATCAATGAAGAGTGAAGAACTCATCATGGGAAATACCTGTGGTTGCTTGGACCATCAGGGTCTGAGCACGCTGCCCGCCAATCAGCCCATGAAGGTGGGCAGTGTAATTAGAAGATGCTTTGAGGTTGGTGATGACTGAGCTGCGAGATGCTGCAGGCACAGAATGTACCACCGTCTCCTGGGGGTGGTCAGAATTCCTAACTTCTATAAGAAAGCTATCTAAGGCAGACTCCTGAGCTTCCCACGAGATGGACACACTGCCCCAGGTCACGTTTGTGACAGTGAGGTGGCTAAGGAGAGGTTCGGCTACTAAAGCAAGAAGAAAAAAATATGAAAGCGTGTCAATGTAAAATACTATTATAAGGTCAACATCAAAACACATAAGACTAAATCTGTAAAGTTTTAGACTTTACCCTCTGGTAAAGGAACTTGTCCTTTGTTGAAAACCAATTTGAGCCATGAGAAACAAATATATATGGTGGACTAATTTGGCACACTTTAATATGGCTGAGACGAGAAGGAGCTAATGCTGGCTCTCTGCCTTTTCTGTGGACCACCCTGACAACAATTTGTAGTCTCATGTAGAATGAGGACAGATTATCTCTCAATCATGCATGACTGAAATGATGGGTAATTTTGATACTACCATGTCAACTGTTTTCTTGAATTCTCCAGAATATGAGATGGTGCACTATAAGAAGAAATTCTCCTGTGTTTATTGCACAAGTAACTTTTTTTTCCGTTTGTGATGTCTTACTTTATCTGTCAAAAGAAGGCATTGTCCTAAATGTGCTAAGAATGCTGTTTGGAACAGCGAAGCCTCTCTTTTCTAAATTCACAGAGAGCTCTTTTTTGCTGCAGACCACAGAGCATCTCCCTTAGTATGTATGTCACAGAGACCATGAATTTAAAGTGCGAGTAATTTATGCTTTCACTAACCAAGCTCTTTGTTTAAACACAACTATTTTACTTTTACTTTTGCCATCTACCATTCACTGTTCTGGTCATGTTGTGGTCTTTTCTCCTAGAAGTGGCGTTGGAATTGGGGTGATCCGGATGGCAGGGCTTCCTCCTGTATTCCTCTGATGAGTAATGCCTGCTCTTTCTCATCACTGTCCCAGTTGAAAAAAAAAAATAACATCACTAACACAATTTCACTAAATCATTGGGCTATTTGGGTATTAGGAAGCCAAAGGCACTAGGAAGACAAAGACACTAGGATAACACAAAATAAAGTTTTTAAGACCTCTTTGACATCTTTCTAAATCAAGGACAATGCTCAATATGGCTTTTCAGTTACTGAAGGGGAGAATTCTTTCCTGCAGATTCTATATGACAATCTAGACCAAACTATATTTTATGCTGCAAATATGTCCTGGTCAGTGATAAATCAGGCAAAGGGCTTAATGGAAGTCCACCAATTGGGCTGCTGCTGGAAGAGAGTTACGTTAAAGAGGCTCCAGCCTAGCATCACGGAAGAGTTAACGCACTGTGGCTTGCGCTTCAATGGGCGAGGAGTGGCTTCATCCTGTAAAGAAGACTCTGGAGAAAGGGTGTTAGAAGTGGGAGAATGCACATATACCTGTGGTGGCTGTGGCACTGATGGTTTTGGTCCGGATGCTGGGAGCAAGTCCCGAGAGGTAGATAATAAAATCGTTACTAGGGCGGAGCCCTGAGATGTGGGCAGTTCGTTCAGCACCAGAGACGTTATATTCCATCGTCTCCAGGAACCTATTGGAATCAATAATTTCAATGGTAAAGGTCTCGAAGGCCCCATCAGTAGCTGTCCAGGAGAGATTGAAGCTCTCAGGAGTTATGGCGGAAACATTTAAGTTTCCAATTTCAGGTTCTCCGGCTGAAAAAGGAGGGGTAGGAGAGAAGAAACAAAGAAATTTCAGTTAATCGGTTGGCTTGTGTTTTAAGATTGAGGTTATTAATAGGACCATAGCTGAGCAGAAAGATCTAATAGTTCAGGGTTATGGCGAAATGAAGCAGTGTTACCAGTCAGTGCCAATGGGAGAGAAAAAGGGGGTTTGTTAAAAGAAGAATAGAAAAAGGAAGGCAGGGTAGTTAGATTTCCCTGCTCTGGAGCTGCCACACATAGTCAGGCTGGTTGAGATCCTGCGTGTGAGAAGACGTGCTGAAGGATGGCAGCAGGAACTGTGCCTGAGTCCAGATGCTTCCAGGAGCCCCACTTCGGGGATGCTGGCCATCAGTCAAAAGATATGAGTGCTGGCAGCTTCCAGTCTCTTGAATTGTACTCAGGAGACCGACATTACTTGGCTTCCTCCTGCAGTCATCCTTTGCTTTGAGGGAACTCCCATCTATTCAAATGAAGACTAAATAATTCTGACGGAATTATCCTCCCAAGGTGGTACCTTGAAGCTTCTGATTTTGTGACTTAAAGGGAAGTGGTGACTTGTCAGTGTCATTCTCGGTATTTTTGTCGTATTTCTGACAAGGGCCAGCCATTTTCATATTCTGCTAAAATAGCTTGTCCTCTCTTAATTGCTTCTATGTGGGCCAAGAAGGCTAGTATTGAGCTGAGCCAAGACAAGGCAGTCAGGGAACCCTATTCAGCCAAGAAATAACCTTTTATCTTGGAGACGGTCCTACAGTGTTTTTCTGAGCAACAGGATGAAAACATGCAGAGAGCAGGCAGAAGCAAGCTGTGAAAAACTAGTGCTGTCTCTCTAGCAAGGAAGAAGGCCTTCCCATCTCAACAGATTTGGTGAAACATAGATTAGATGGAATTAGGGCCCTTCCCCCCACAGACCAACTCATCAGAAGCAAGAATATTGCTATCATTAAAAAGGAAAAAAGCACATAAAAACACTAAAAACACCCAAGCCACAAGATCTACAGAAAAGATCACAAGTGGCAAATGATTTCTCTGCCTACTGGGAAGGGATGGTTTGTGGGTGTCAAGTGAAAAAGCCCTGGGTGCATCGAGCCTCAGCTGCAATTTTTAGGCATTCTGGGGTCACCACTCACGCAGCGGAGCGTATGCTGTACGTTTATCTCAGCAAGAGTTACTGAAATGATTGAGGCTAAAATAGGAAGCTATGCTTTTGCTAGAACCAACCAGGATAGACAGGTTTACATGAATGTTTAGTTGCAATAATTATCTAAAAATGGGGCCAATATATGCAAAAGCAAACAACACAGCCTCTACTGAGCTTCAAACCAATGGAGGCACATAGGAAGATGAGCAATGGAAAACAGCACTGGGGAAGGCTGCTCACTTTAGCTGGCTCAGGGGGAAACACTGGCTGCCTTGGCACTGGGGCAGAATCATGAGCAAACTATAATGTACCCTCCTGGGTCTGGGCTGGGAGTGTGCCATCCAAAGGCCAACACTCCAGGGAGCAACTCTGGATGAAGAGAGCGAAAAGGGCATCAGATCTTCGACATTCGTAGCCTAGGACATTCTTGCTTCAAATGCTGCTGTGTGTACTTCCACTAATGAATGGCTTTTTCTTTGCTCCTGTCTCCATCATAATTGTGTGATTTTTTTTTCATTTCTGGTCTAGCTAATTTGATGTTCTAACAATGACTCAGTATCTGAGAGAATTGCCCGGAGGAGGGTAATTCAATTCTCTTATTATACTCAGTGCCTTTTAAAGAAACATTTAAATTAAAACATTTCTTTTAAATGCAAGAACCACAGTGCCCATGAGGGATTTGGGATAGTGAAGCACCATTTTCCAACTAGCAAAAAAGACTCTCTAAAGTAAATAATCTGTGCTCCACCAGAATGCACACATGGGAAGGGTCAGCTTGTAGTTATATCCAAGCCCTGGAGAAGAGAATTAAAACCATCAGACTGTGTCTTCTGAAACAGAAAGCCATCATTCAAAAGGGATAAAGTTGTAGGATGGGGCCGGTAAAGTCTGGGAGAGGCTGGAGGCTGGAGGTCAGAAAAGGCAACATCTTCATCCTTCATTCTCGAGATGGCAAAGGCATCTGGACCAAGGCACAGCCCATAGGGAGGTGTTTGAGCATGCACAGCCAGCAGCTAAGGGGAGCAAGGAAGGGATTCTGATGTGGAGAGAAGCTGACTCCCCTTACAATCTCTTGGAGAGAAAGCAGGGAACCCTGGGGGAGAGAATTGACAGGGAGAAGAAGGTACCTGTGGAGGCCTCAGCAGACAGCACTGGTGTTTTATAGCCCCGGATCACCCCATAGATGGTAACTCTATAAGGGGTGGCAGCCTTGAGGCCCGGGACTTCCACTGCCCTCAGGCTGCCGGGCACCGTGAGGTTCTGAGCCGCCTCCACCCTGTTGACCTCCTGCACCTGTATGACAAAGAGCTCATAGGCCTGGTCAGCTGCGGTCCAGTTGAGTTTGAGGCCATCCCAGCCAGCCTCGGTCACGACTAAGTCTCCCAGCTCAGGGAGCTCCTCTGAAGAAGGACAGAGAGGTACTGGTCAGTTCTGCAAACCAAAAACGAGGAAACCAAAAGTCCCACAGCCCACCTCTAGGGAAGAAAGAAAGGGGCGAGAGAATTGTGCGTGCGTGTGTGTGTCATTCTTGGTCTCTGGAAATTTCCAGTTTGAACTGCGGTAACCTGGCCACAGCTTTCCCCAAGAATTGAAAATGATCGGAAAGGCAACATCTGCATTGTTCATCCTTGAAATGGCAGTGCCATCAGGATCACTGCACAACCCACCGGGAAGTCTCTGAGCATGCACGGCCAGAACGCAAAGGGCAACTGGAAAACGTGGGATCGTGGGTCAGAGTAAGGGAGTAGGACTGGTTCAAAATGCAGGCTTGGGAAGCAGCTGGGTCTTAGTTAGAATTCCAACCCTGATATTTGCTAGCTGTGTAATCTTGGGCATGTCACCCAGCTCATCTGTGAGCCTCACTCTCCTCCCTTTAAAAGCTGACAGCACCATTTCATTGGATTGCGTGATGATGGAACAATACTATTTATAAACCTCTGAGCATCATACCTGACACATAGTGAGTGCCTGATAAGTGGCAGCCTAACATATATATCCCTGTTGAGATGTTTGCCCTTGTAACTTCTCCATCATATTGGAGAGAATTACCTGCTCCATTTGGTTACTTGACATCGGAGAGGTCATCTCACTGCTGGCTGCATGCTCTCTGACTGCATTTATAAAGCATATGCTGTCTCAGATTGGCACAAGCCCGATGTTTTATCTCTGGACTTTTCTCGGCTTAAAGGTTTTATACCAGATCCTTGGCTTGATTCTTTCCCTCCCCCATCTTCTGCCAGTACTTTGTGTCTGAATGAAGGATGGCTGCATCACGGAGCAAGGCCATTTGCATGAGGCAAGTGCCCACTTTTAATTAAAAGTGATTATGTTTTGCTCAATAAATGGTGCAGAGCAGGGCCCACTATTTATTTTTCTACAACGCAGGAAGGAAATTTAAAGTAGTTATTATTGCTGATTTAGAAAGTTTGGCTTCTAGACATGGAAAAACCCACTGCTTAGAGGAATGCTGCGCAGGGTTAAATGCAGTCTTTCAGACTCTCTTTTTAAGGCTGAAGTGGCCATGGATTTGAAATTAGAGAAGAAAATATCTGCAGAGATTTTAGCCAGAAAAGGTGTGAGGGACTTGTTCTCAGGCATCCCAGGGTTCGGTGCCCTGTGAGAGTCTGGGCAAGCCAGCCTTTCAGAGGAGCTGGATGCAGACCATGTTTCACTTAGTGCTTTCGTGGAAGAACTGGGCTGGGGACGTGGGTGCAGGCAGCCCCCTCCTTCCTCAGCTCACCACGAAATGCTGTTCATTTCTGTCATTTAGTGGAGTTCCCTGTAAGATTTCATGTGCAAAAGGAGTTCTAAAAAGGAGCTGCTAAAAACAGAAGTTCAAAAACTACAGATGTAGACCATTAGCATCTTGCATCCAGATCACATATGTCTCAATGTCCCCATTTGCTCTTGAAGATATTCCAGGAAACACAGGACAACAATAATCTGGCCAATTTAGGTGAACTACAAAGAAACCTTTCCTATTTTTGGAACTATGTGTAGTTTCTAGCAAGGACCAAATTTATTTGGTGTATACAAGGAGCAAAACAATTTGTCTGAATTAGGTTTGTGGGAGGCATTATAAAAATAGAGGATATGTGGAGAAGGTATGGGCTTAGGGCCCAGCATAAAAACCCTATTACCAAAATTCTGGCCCATTTGCTCACAGCCTCCTTTAAAGCTCTTTCTAGAAACCTCATGAACAGCACAGTTTTCTATCACAGATGGAGCAGCATATTTTCAGAGGACAAATTGAGATGAATTGTTTTTCCTCCCCAAATGGAATGCAAAACATTGAAGTCAAATGTGGCTGTCCTTTCTTGGCAGCGTCCTTGCCTTGAGTGTCCGTTAAGGGGAGAGTGACTTGGATACTTTCAGCAGATGACTAATTCATTTCAAAGGTTATTCTGTGGAAATTTGACTACAAGTTGGATGGCGATTAGTGAGGCCACTCATGATAAGATTTCTGTAGAAAGCTCTAACCTGATGCTTGTGCCACAGCCCACCTGTTGATGCTATTTTTGTTACGACGTGTTGCTATCTGATCAATTTAGCTGTCAGCGGTTCAATATGTACTATAGGCTGGGCGATTTGCTAACCACTTGCATTCACCATCTCGTTTACTGCTCATGACAGTGTTCTGAGCTGGGGTATGATCTCTGATTGGAAGATGAGTAAAGAAGGCTCAGAGATGCCAAATGACACACCCAAGAATATTCAGCCAGTGAGGTGGAATTCCAACCCAGACATTCCTCACTTAGAGCCAGTGTTCAAGCTGCGTGCCTGCAACATTGAGATAGAGCGCTGCCATGTAGAGAACTTTCTCTACTCCAAAGACAGACTGGCTCAAGTACTTCCCTGGTGTGGGAGGAGGGTCATATACCTGTCATGACCTCGACAGCAAGGGGTCGAGTGCGGCGGCCCCTGACCTCGCCGTGCAGGGTGACTGTGTAAGGGGTCCCAGCCCTGAGGTCTGGGATTTCCACGGAGCGCAGGCTGCCAGGAACTGTGAGACTGTGAGCTTCTTTGGCCTGGTCAGCCTCTTGGACCTCAATGACAAACTGCTCATAGATCTCATCTGGGGTGGTCCAGTCCAGTCTGAGGGCATCCCAGCTAACCTCGGTCACTGTGAGGTTTCCCAGATCTGGAACCTCCTCTGCATAAGGACACAGAGTTGCTGAGTTACTAAAAAAGGCGATTGCATGCATGCTGGGATTCAGGTGAGGTGGCGTCTTGGCCAAGGATGGGATGAGTTGTCTGGTTAGTGTTGATTACAGATGCGTGATTTATGGCGGGTAGTGAGCACACTCTCATTGTTGGCACTAAAGCCAGGGTTTTTCTATTCAACCTTTGGGAATGAAAGCCTAGTTCTAGGAATTGTTCATAACCTCCATTCTTGACATACAAATGGGGCTTTGGGGAGTCCTTTGGTGTATTCTTAAAATGAGCTCAGACCAATTCTTTTTTCCATTTGCAAATTGTGCTTTCCAACTTCTTAGATATTATGTCTGAAACTTGCTTTGAAAGAAAAGTCACCTCTCACTTTTGTCAAGGAAGAATAGGTGGAATTTTCCATGGAATTGGCTACCATGCCATGTCTAGGACTTGGCCAAATAAGGGATGTGACATTTGGATGGACACAGGGGTGATCTACCGGTATTCTCCCAAGGTGCTAGGGGATGAACCCAGTTTAGAGAGGGAAGAGCTTTGATCCCCCCTGAGTAGTGACAATGGGGGGAAGCAGATTAGTGAACTAGTGCAATATACCTGTCAAGACTTCAACAGACAGAGGGGCTGTGCTGAAGTCTCGAGTGACCCCGCGGATGGTGATGCTATAACGAGTGGATGCTTTGAGCCCAGGCAAGTCCACGGACCTCAGTCCTCCTGGGACTGTGAGGTTCTGGGCTGCCTCTACTCTGTCAGTCTCCTGCACTTGAATGAGAAACTGTTCATAGGCTCCTTCCGGAGCGGTCCAGTTGAGCTTGAGGGCATCCCAGCCCAGCTTGGACACCGTGACCTCTCCCAAATTGGGACTTTCCCCTGGAGAAGGACAAAGAACGAGTTTAATGATCAATTCACGCACCCAGACCCAGGGCATCTTTAACACAAGAACAGGCTTTACATTACTTAAAAAAATGTGACTTTCTTTAGATAAACATGCAGCCTTCCTGAATTTGAGAAATAGAGCAAAGAGGGTGAGATATAGGAAAATATTTATCTTATTTCATTAAGGAATTGCCTTAACCTCCAGTAGAGAAGGAAATTAATTTGGGGGTTGATTTTTTTCCTTTTGAGTATAATGCCAGGGGTGAGCCTGTTGGTGAAGCTAAATGTTGCCGCCATTGGGGCTATGTATACAGTCCCCAGGCTGGGCTCTGCAGAACTCCAAAGGGCCTTGCTCACGTGGGGTGCAGCGTGAAAACTGCCTGTGGAGCTGCGTAGCCTGATGGCTTCCCATTATTACACACCATAGCGGCTATAACTTGGGGCCAAATGAGTCCATTCAAAAGTGAGCTGTGTCTGATTATCTTCGGGCAGTTTCCTGTTAGGAGAAAAAAACAGAAGCTAGAAAGAAAGGTAAGAGGTACCTGTGGAGGCCTCAGCAGACAGCACTGGTGTTCTATGGCCCCGGATCACCCCGTAGATGGTAACTCTATAAGGGGTGGCGGCCTTGAGGCCCGGGACTTCCACTGCCCTCAGGCTGCCGGGCACCGTGAGGTTCTGAGCCGCCTCCACCCTGTTGACCTCCTGCACCTGTATGACAAAGTGCTCATAGGCCTGGTCAGCTGTGGTCCAGTTGAGTTTGAGGCCATCCCAGCCAACCTTGGTCACCGTGAGGTTTTCCAGTTCAGGGGTGTGGTCTGAATAATGACAGAGACGGGGTCAGTTAAACCATTCCTCAAAACACTTTCCTTCTGGGAGCCCAGAAATGGCAAACTGGCTGCCAGTGCTAAAGGACCACGGGGGCCTGAGTGCCATGTTTCACTCACCGCATCCCCCAGTGGTGCTGTTGCCAAAACACACCGACTGAAAAATCAATAGAAGCCTGATTTCGCCATATTGCGTATTTGGATTTGTCTTTTGGAAAAGGTATTTTCCTATTGACCAGTGTCCTGTGGATTTAGAAAACCCCACATGTCTATGTTCGTAATGCTCTGGGCTTCAGTTTCCATTTTGGAAAGTGTCTGTCATCGTAAAGATGAGATCATGAGGAACAGCCTTGGGCTATTCTCCTCATTCTTGGTCTGAGCTGTCGAGCCTTCGGTATTTTGAGAAAATTGGCTTCTCTTAGATCCCCTTCTTTCTCATGCTTTCTCAGTGTCCTCTGGAAGGTCTGTGTTATGGTCTCTTTATGTTGGGATTTTTGTCAGTTTCCGGGGCTCAAATCAGTTTATATAAACCACTTCAGAAGGATCAGGCATAAATTACACAGTACAAGCAAGGCTGAACTAAGGAAGGCGATGGGTCTTTGCAAAACTGTCCCTTATTGGACAAAAAGAAACACTGGCGCTGGGAGAGACAGAGCTTATTGAGCTCAATTAAAATCGAGTGCGCCATCTTCATTCATCTCTTAAATGCGCAAAGTACCGTCAAAACACTTGTCTGAACATGCCTTCAAGGTGATCACTTGGCGAGGGCTGAGCTTAAGTGGACTTTGCATGACCTAGGAAGAAGGGATTTTCTCTGGAAACGGATCTTGTAAACAACAGAGGAAGAACCGTCTTGAGTTTATTTAAAATAACAAATTGTTTTTCTTTTCATGCCTCACATTGGCTGCTAATTTTAAATGAGCCCTATGTGTCCATTAAAGCAGGCTTCTCATTTGAAAATCTTAGCTTATAATTGGACTGAAGATATCTTTCAGAGGGGACAATGTTTCTTTCCAAGAATTTATTTAATTCAGACTTTTCTAAGTTCTGGGGAACGTTCCTTCCTAATTGCTTCATATCGGCAAAGCATACACTCCTTCAAATCCTATTTGTTCTAGAACAGGGTTCAGAAAAATATGATCTGAGGGTCAAATCTGGCCTGCTGCCTATTTTGGTAACGAGCTTAGCTGAGCTAACAACAGCTTTTATAATTTTAAATGCTTGGGGAAAAAATCTAAACAAGAATAATTCATGACATAGGAAAATATCTGAAATTCAAATTTTTGTGTCATAGATAAAGTTTTATAGGAACACAGCCATGCTTGTTCATTTACCTATTATTGATGGCAGCTTTTGGGCTGCTAAGGCACAGTGGAGTAGTTGTGACAGAAACCATATGGCCTGGAAAGTCTAAAATATCTACTGCCTGGCCCTTTACAGAAAACGTTTGTGATAGCTGATCTTGAATACTTTCTGTGTAGTTCATTTAACCCAAATTCACGTCCTAAATCTCACACCCAAAGCCCCATAGCAGTTTTTAACGATACAAACATGGTCTCAATGAGAAAGAGAGGACCCAAAACTCAAAGTGATGTATCTAGTTTTGGGGAAAGAAAGGGAGAATCAGGCATTCTTAAACCCCTGGCCTTTGTGAGGCCAGGAGCAGTGCTCCAGATATAACAATTGTCTCCTTGACTTTGGGATTTAAACACAACTAAACTCAAGAGCGTGTCCTTTTCAAACATTCCAGCAGTCCTCGTGCATCAAGAGATGCAGGACAAAAGCCAATTGAAGAAAATCTGTCAAGTAAAGGAAATTGATCCTAAGGCCCATAGACTCCCTGTCTTATCCCACTTTCCTGTTTTTTTCCTCCTACTGTCAAAACTGCTTGTCAGGAACTTAGCTGACATTGGTGACTTTCCCTTTTATACGAATTAAATTCACTGTCTTTCCTCTCCACGTAACCGCCTTTTAAGTTATCTCTCTTATTCTGACATAAAACATATTTTTTTTCCATGAAAGAAATTTCAGGTGCCAGGTTGTAAAAGATGCAAGGAGAGTTAACTGGGGCAGAGAGGAGGTGATGACGGATTGTCTATTAAGCTGTTGCAGTAAAGATGGAGAGAGGAGGGGAGGGGATCCACATTGGAACGTCTCTTTCTGTTGAGAACCATCTTTGCTCTTTGAATCAGCTTTTTTTTTTTAATTTGAGGAAGATTAGCCCTGAGCTAACATTTGCCGCCAATCCTCCTCTTTTTGCTGAGGAAGACTGGCGCTGAGTTAACATCCGTGCCCATCTTCCTCTACTTTATATGTAGGACGCCTACCACAGCATGGCTTGACAAGTGATGCCATGTTCTCAGCTGGGATCTGAAACAGCGAACCCCGGGCCATGGAAGCAGAACGTGAGAACTTAACCACTGAGCACCAGGTTGGCCCCTGAATCAGCTTTTTTATATGCCCCTGATAGTATTATACAACATCCCTCACATCCTGTATCATCTGGTCATAGAGTTGACAGAGTAATTTTCATATAATGTTGTGTCGCTCAGTAAATAGTAATAATCATGGTGATGATCCTTCCATCCAAAATTTTGGCTATTTTTCCACTCTTGGGGGGAGGCAAATAAAGAAAAAGCATCAGTTTATACTTAGTGAGCAGTGCTGTGATGGTTTCTGTAGTGGGTGATTGCTGCCCCACCCAAACCGCTTCATTAAACAAATGCTAGTCAGATAAGTAAAAGGTATACCTCCAAGGAAAAAAAATCAGTAGATAAATTAAAGGGGGAAGGATAGGAATTATGAAAAGAGAAGGAATAATAGGAATACAATACAGCAGACGATAGTTGAGGTGAGGACCAAGAGGTTCCACATAAACGCAGACTTTACATCTCAACAGCCAAGGACACGCTTGTGGGCTTCCTGCCCCAGAAGCCCAGCGTTTCCGTTGTATAGTTCCACACTGAATTTCTTGGCATTTCTTTATGAAAAGGCTATTGTCTTTTTCTTACAGCTGTGCACTGGCAGCTACCCTCTGAACAATGTCAGTGGGCCTGGGAAATCAGAATTTCGAAATCCCGTTTCTGTGCTCATGGTGGGTTGACCAGCTGGCCTGGAGGAATTTCTGGCTGTGCCAACTTTAAATCTTTAGATTTCCACCACCTTGTAGACAGGAAGGACCAAGTGCCGGCTCATGAGGAATCCACTTTTAGTGCTCACTGATGAGAGAGAGTGATTTTCCCACAGCAGAGGGATAGTCAAATTCAAGCAAAGGACCCCAAAGCGTAGCTTAAATTGCTTTGATCTCATCTTGTAAAGTTAAGGTAATTGAAATTAAAAGCCTTGCCTGCCTTAAAACTTTTCAATGACTCTAACACTTCCAAGTATGAAGCCCAAGCCCATTAGCATGATAATCACTGCCCTCTGAGGATGGTCGCGATGACGTCTCTAACCTCACAACCTGTTTTTCTCCCGCTCCCTCATACAGCAGAACTGTACAACTTGTATTTCACTAATATAAAGTTTCTCCTGTCTTTGAGCTTCTCACATGCTGTTCCTCCTGCTAAAAATGTCATTACTCCCTCCTGCACTCACCCAGCCACTTTTCCTTTTTCAGGGCTCAGCCAAGCCTCTTCCCCAAGGGCCTCTCTGACACCCTTCATTCTCTTTGCTCAGGTCTGGAATGGCTATTTGCCCCTGTTCTCCTGTAGCTTCCCCCCCCAAAACAGGCTAGTTGCATTCTTATAATTTTGGTTCTGGTTCTCTCTTTCTCATCGCAATGTGCATCATTGCTTGAGAGGCAGGATGTATCTTTCTGTTCTGTATACCAGCATAGCCAGACCCATTAGCAGGTATGAAATAAATATTTGTTGGATGGATAAATATTTGAATAAATTTCAGTTTGCTCCTTGAGAAAAAGAAAGGTAAATCAGAGAAGAAGGTTCTTATTACTTGTAGCTGTGGCTAAAAACAAACTTCCACCTTTCTGCTTCCCAAACCCATGAGAATTCCTGGCGGATCACTGTTGAGTCCCATGCTGGTTTGGAAGGATGCTTGGCCTTGTATTTCTACACATCCTCCCTGCTTTGTGTCCATTACTCCCACAGCAAATTCATGGCCTCCACTTTAAGGAAGGTTTCGTTGAGTTCATCAGAGTACAAACACAGGGGGTCGAGAAGGGGGAGATACTGGCACACACTAATTTTGTTCACTGCTAACAGAAATAGTTCCTACTCTCTTTCCTTCCTTTCTCTCTTTCCTTTCTTTATCCTTCCTACGCTTTCTCCCTCCCTCCCTTCCTTCTTTCCTTCTTTTTCTATCCAGAGTAAGCTTAATCGAAGACCCCAAGAGAGTGACTTCCCTTCCCTTAATCCTTAAGGGAGAGAATTTGGGTCATTAATGCAGAGGTGGAAGGAAAAGGCCAGAGGATACAATGGAAATACAGCCTTGGAGTGGCTGGGGTCCCCAAATGCTCATGAAGCACTTGTCATGTGCTTGGCTATGTTCAAAGCACTGGAGATGCACTGTGGATGAGGCCCTGGATAAAGGAGACAGAGTCCTTACATGTTGATGGGTAGTGAGAGGCAGGCCATAGATAAATAAGCCAGCTACTGAATAATATCAGGCCAGAGAAGTGGCAATGAGGAACTCTGGAGCAGCATGAAGGGGTAAATCAGGGTGGGGGCATCATTTTAGATTGGTGGCCAGAGAAGTCTTTTGAGACATCCCTTGGGCTGAGTGAAATGAGGGAGATGTCATGTGAAGTACTTGGAGAAGAGTGGTATCTAGGAAGCAGGAATAGCATGTGCAAAGGTCCCAAGGCAGGACCAGGCCTGGCATACTTGAGAAACAGTGAGGAGGCTAGAGGGATCATGGTGAAATGAGCAAGGGGACAAGTGGTGGGAGCTAGGTCAGAGAGCTGGGAAGGGCCAGATTCTGTAGGGCCGTGTAGTCTGTGTAGGGCCTTGGCTTTTATTTCAGATGTGATGGGCAGCTAGGTCATGCACACTTTTAATTTGATGCCACACCAAGGAAAAGACTTGTACTTTGGCTCAATTCCATGGCTAGATCCCTGGAATTCCATGGGAAAAACGCTTTGGGGCAGCCAATTCTGCATCTTCTCCATAAAACCCACAGACAACGAGTGGCACTTTGCAGACTTCTGCTATTAAGAATCTCGTGATGCAGAACTGGGAGTCCTGTTCTTCTGAGGTTTGAACCTAGAGTCCTTTGACATTTTAGGACTCATAGCCACATGGTGCATTCTCCCAAGAGCGCTCACATTTCCTGTTTCTCTTTTCTTCCCATGTGTTTACCCAGGCCAGGTGCCTGGACTGCCCCCTCTTCACATATTCCATAACACACTCCTGTTTGCCTCTTATGTGTCTGTCCAAAAGCTTTCTCCTGTTTTAAGACTTTCTTGATGCCCAGAGGCATCCTGTGCTCTCATTGCGCCCTCTGCACAGCCAATTATAGCGAGCGGAGACCTGTGTTGGGGTCTGTCAGTCTGTTTACCAGAAAGCGAATTCCTTGGAAGCACAGATCTGTCTTAATTGATCTAGTATCCCCAGAACTTAGCATGAAGCATGGCTGTATATACTATTGACTGAGGAAATGTAGGAGACGTGGAAAGAGAATTCAGGAGAAGGAAAGAAACGTCCACCCCACTTTTAATAAAGTAAAATAGTTCTATGGAGAAAGCCATAGAGAGAAATATTCTGGAGGCAATGGGGAAGAGTCACTGAAAGGGACTTTGCACATTTTTCCTGTAATGAAGAAAGTCTTTAAATATACAACGCGATGTCTTTGAAACAGCTTTAAGGAGGCCTGGCTGGGGCAACAAAACCACTGAGCCATTGAGATGCCAAAACTGGGCTCTCAGTCAGAGACTAAGTAATTCCAGTTTGTGGTTCGCTTTCATCTCCTTGAGCTGCTGAGGCCTGGGGCTTCCTTACTGGAGACAAGAGATAACCGGGCTATAGCCAGAGGGTAAAATGATTGTGTGGAGATGGGGGGCTCTCTGATACAGCATTTGTCAAATTGAAGGGAAAGTGAAAAGGGAGAGAGAGAGAAAAGAAGAAGAAGCTGGAGGAGGAGGAGGGGGAGGGGGAGAAGGGGGGGAGGGGGAGAATAGGGAGGGGCAGGAGGAGGGTGGGGGGAAAAGGGGGAGGAGGAGGGGGAGGGAGAAGGAGACGGGGAAGGGGGACAAATTCCCTCTCTTTTGTTTTTCTCATTCATTTGTTGTCCCTTGATACCTTACAACAAGCTCACGTTTATAAAGCTGAAACATTCAGATCTCTACCATAGATTTATTTCTTCCTGGTCCTCTTCTGCCCTCCCTCACCTATGACTAAGCTACCCCTCCAGAGCATCCTTGATGATCATCTCATAGCTGGGTGGGAAGCAGGCCATGCAGTCAATAGAATTGACCACCTGAGCTCACTTCTGACTCTGAAGAGGCTGCTCTTTGTCTATCAAATATCCTTTCTCTCTCTCTTCCTTTCAAAAAACCACAACTTTATGTGGGCAGCAATGTGCTCAGCCAGAAGACTACCTTTCCTAGACTTACTTATAGCTAGGAGTGGCCATTGAAATGTGAGCAGAAGTCATTAGTGAGGTTTCCAGAAAGACTCATCTAGGAGGTACTCCTTTTTGGTTTCAGTTTTTCCTCCTTCATGCTGCCTAGAACACAGATGTGAAGGCTGTACTGCAGCAGCCATATTGTGACATGGAGGTGACTTTGAGAGTGGAAGTCAAGGACTAAGAATGGTGGGACAAAAAGACAGAAGGAGCCTGAGTCCCTGATAATTTGGAAATGCTGTGCCATCCCTGAACCACCTAACCTCAGATGTATTCGATGAGAGAGGAAACCAACTTCCACCTTGCTTAAGTGACTGTTACTTGAGATTTCTGCTATATGCAGGTGAAGGTATTCATAAATGACAAAGACTCTTCGAGGCATTTCCAAATTTGCCCATCATTACAACTCCTTTTCTGCATATCCAGAGTCAGCTGGAGTAACATTGCTGCCATGACACGTTCTCTGGCTGCTCCTGATTTCCCCAATCATTCTGTTTCCTTGATTAACTTTCATCTAACATTCTGAACATTGAGTCTTTCCCAAGGATTGTGAGCAGGAGCACACGAGTCAAAATAACAGTGCTAAGTACGTGATCGACTTTCCCCTCAAAGGTCAGCACATTACAATGCATTCAGTGGGTTCTCAACAAATACTCATGAGTTAAATTGAAACTAAAGACTATTACTTGTCAAACTGTGAAGCATTAACATTTTCCACCTATATCTCTTGAATATTTGGGGGCCAAAATGAAAATGTGCATATTGTTCATGTAGGAAGAACTGATTTTTTTTCTGATTTTTTTTTTTTTGATTTAGCTATTGAGGAAACATGGCAGCAGGTATCTAGAACAGAATCATTGGGCTTGAAGGGAGACTCGAGGTCAGGATTAAGCTGTCATGGAAAAACGAAGTCCGCCTCTTAATGACTAAGAGAAAAGAGAAGATGAGAAGGGCTCTGTAGAAGTTCCAAGGACCATATGCAACTTTTCTGACAACCTTAGAGGAAAGCAAAAGACCTGGAATAAAATCATTTAATGGGAAATCACCAAAGCATTACTACCAACTTCTTGGTCATCTTGAAAAGAAATAAAATGCAAAGTAAATTAATTGTTAGGCTCAAGAGGGGGAAAAAGAACAAGAAACAATTTAAAAGGCTCTGTGAAAGGCAGAACATTTAAAAAAAGAAAACAAAGACAAACACAGTCTGATGCTTTGAGTTCTTCTAGGAAGAAATATTTCAAAATCACTATCGATTGCCCAGCAAGAGAAATTCACTGGATCAGTTGACAAGAGGAAAAGAAGAGTGAGTAGCTCTTTCAGAGGAGAATTGAGAGGATTCATGAGTAGAGAAAGTCATATGTCTTTCCAACTGGTTTTCTCAGATGAAGACAACCTGGCTGACGGGTCCGCAGGCCTCAGAGTCAACAAAGGGTCTGCAGGGAGCTCAGAGGCTGGCCTCACCTGTGGATGCCGTTACACGTGCAGGCTTGCTCTTGTGTCTGCCCTTCTCTGAGGTGAGGAGGATGGGGTATTCCTGTCCAGGTTCCAGACCTCTCAGGACGTAGGAGGTGGTGGCTTTGGGAAGCCGCACCTCCACTGGCTGGCCGGAGGGAAGGCTGTAGTTGAGGCGGTAATGGTCAAACTTGGCCGATGGAGTTCTCCACACCAGAGTCAGGCTGGTGTCCGCAGTTTCAGAAACCCGAAGGTCCTTGGGTGCGTCCAGGTCTGGGAGGAAAACAGAGAGATAAGCTTTCCTCTTTAGGCTGCAAGGCAGGGCTGCTTCCGGAGCTGGAAGCTGGCTCTGGGCTACCGTCCTAGCTCCGCTGCACAGGGGATGTGTGGCTCCACGTGATTCAACCACCCGAGTCTCCATTTTCACCTCTGTGAAATGCTGTTGTTGTACATGACCTCCTTGGATTTTTTGAAAGATTAAACATAATATAGTAGTATATCCATACCATGAAATGTTACTCATTCAGAGCATTTAAAAGGAAGTGACTATTGATACAAGAGACAATTTGGATGGACCTCAAGAGAACTATGCCAAGCAAAAAAGCCAATCTCTGATGGTTGCGTACTGTATGATTCCTTGCATATAGCATTCTCAAAATAACAAAATTATAGAGATGAGGAACAGATTAGTGATTGCCAAGAGTTAGAGAAAGGAGGAGGGAGGGAGGGAGGGAGGCGCCTATGGGTACAGAAAAGGGTAATGAGAAGGATCCTAGTGATGGAACTATTCTGTCTTGACTGTAGAGGTGGATTAAAAAATCTACACGTGATAAAATTGCACAGAACTAAATACACTCACACACAGACAAAAGTTAAGTGCAGGTGAAACTGGTAAAATGGGAATGAAGTTGATAGATTGTATCAATGTCCTGGTTGTGATAGTTCTGGTTCTATAGTTACACAGTTGTTACCACTGGGGGAAACTGGGCCAAGGGCTTACAGGATCTCTCTGTATTATTTCTCACAACAGCATGTGAATCTACAATTACTTCAAAATGAAAACATAAAAAAGATTATGTATGTAAGCACTCAGCATCAGATCCTGCATAATGGGGAAGGTTGATGAAGTGTAAGCTGTGTCCTCTTTGCACACCAGCCTCTTTTCTTTACAGTACCTGGGGGAGATATGGAGGAGGCTGGCAGAGAGGTAGAGGGAAGAGCTTTCTTTTATACAAATTTTCCAGAAAAAAACTTGAGGAAAGAATCAATGGCTTCTAATCATATAGCCCCTTATCGTCGTCATCTGGAGACTGGAGGGGCCAGATGCAATGGGATGAGCAACACCTACCTTAAACTGTGCTCCTGCCACTTATAATCTGTATGAGGAGGGTATACAATAAAAATTAGGTGTTTTCTAAGAGAACTCCCCATCAAGGTGTGTTTTGATTAGTCAATGGCTCATAAAAATTGGAATTGGTTACCAACTTTAGAAAGTGTGTAGATGTTTATAGTCTGTTTTTTTCCTAAAAAATCTCCTTTATGCATAGAGAGAGTGGTGTTGGCATCATTTAGATGCAGGATGCTGATGGTATTGTAAATGTAGACATTTGGGCTAGATGATCCTAGAGGCTCCTTTCTCCTCTGGGCGTCTACTGTTTCCTTTTAAGCAGGTTTTCTGCCTCCTGGACCCTGTTGTGTTGGCCAGTGCCAGCCCAGTGGTGGTGGGAATCCAGGTGTGCCTCACCTGTGGCCGCGTTGATGGTGGCCGGATCGCTCTCCTTGTCTCCCTTCACAGCAGACACTCCAATTCCATATTCAGTTCCCGGCCTCAGACCTAGAAGAGAATGTGCAGGTTGAAATTTAGCCAAAAACTGGAACAGAGGACCATAAACATGGCCCTGAGCTTGCTCCTGGACAATTTCTCAGCGTCTGGAACATTCTGTAGACTGACTCACTGAAGTCCAAGTGAAAAAGATTGCTGGGAACTGCACTGTTTTCTCTCTTTGGAGGATCGAGGATGTGGAGCTCACCTGTGAGTGTGGTTTTGGTTGTGGCTTGTGGGCTCCTCGGGACTTCGACCTCAGCGTGGTCCCCTCCAGAGATGGGTGCGTACTTAATTCTGTAGTTGTCGATGGCCGCCTTGCCATTCCTCCACTCCAGGGTGATGCTGTTGTCTGTCTGGGAGACACGACGGAGATTCCTGGGAGCATCCAGACCTGTTTGGGAGAGGAAGCGACATTTGTATTGAAAACACCAGGAACCAAGAGAGTGGGACTCTTCAATGATTCAAACTAAGATATGAAAGGAGCCTGTCACTGGAGAGAAATGACAAAATCGCCCCCACACGCATCGCTGTCAACAGCTGATGCACAAATGTAAACAAATACTACCTTTTTGGCACTTTTCCTATTATTAATGTGTGATACTTTAACCATTCATATTTTCTTCCAATTTTGTGCTTAAAAAAACTACACAGATACTTACAAATAAGCTCCATGAGTGTAAGAACTGGGTTCTTGTGTTCATTACTGTATTTCTACTAACTCATATGGTGCTTACTGAGCTCTGAAAAAATATCTATGGAATGAATGATTGACATTTTGGTACTTCTAAAAGAATGCCATAGGCTAAGAGGTTAGGAGGCATCCTTGTCATTCATGTTTTCCATATACTATATTTTATTATTAAAATATTCATTTGAATTTTATTGGAATCAGAACTTTTACCAAAAATGTCAGTCCAGCATCTTCTATGCACACACACTATATATATATTTTTTGCTTTGAAAGGTTATTTGGGGTTGTTTTTTTCTTTGAAAAATTAATCCATCAATTGCAACAATATTTTAAAATAGCATTTAAAGGAATGAAAATCCCCTTTCTATTTTCCCTACTGGAAAAGGAGCCTAGAAGACACACCAGCATGGCGTGGGATGGAAGTATCATGATCCTTCCTTTCCTGTTAAGTGAGCAGGGGAAGGCCTGTTACCTGTCGTGAAGGTCTCTTTGGACGGGTTGCTGGACATGTCACCCCTGCGTGAAATGAGGGACACTTCGTATTCCGTGTCTGGCTTCAGGTTCCCGATGGAGTACTGGTTCTCATCCTGTGTGAGATCGATGGTGGTGCGGTCACCTGGCACATCTTTGACACCATAGGTGAGCTCGATGCCGTCGATTTCAGCCAGGGGCTTGAACCAGGTGATCAGAGCAGTGGTGTCTGTGACATCTTTCACCTCGATCTGGCTGGGGGCATCCAAGCCTGTGACGGGTGAAGACAGAGTGGTTTCAGAGACTGAGGCTGGCGCCAGGGGGTGAGCAGAGAGGGAGCTTGCAGCCATCCGGGTCAGTTCATGTACATTTATGTGCATACTGACCACTTGACCTTATTTATCTTTCTGAGCCTCAATTTCCTATTCAATAAGCTACAAGTTGGGATAATAACAGCTACCTTGTCAGATTTGTTGTTTTTTCAAATATTGAAGGAGATAATGCTTGCAAAGCATGTATCGTAGAGCCTAGAACATGGCAGTTACATGATAAATGGTCGTTACTCTGTTTCTATTACCATTACTGTTCTCATAAGTTGAAGAAACACGCTCAGGGACAAGTTCATTTAGAAAACATTGACTTAGTCTCTCTGGTTTTTCAATTAGGCAAGACTCCCTGGATGGCTGATAACTTCTCCATCAGAATTTGAAGCCGAAAAGTGAGGCAAGGACTGTCTTGCAGTGTATGGAAAGTTACTTTTGATAAAAAGAATTCAGGCAAGAAAGTCATGGCTGTCTCCAGCTGTGCACATCTCTGTAACCTCATCTTGGCCTTCCTCTGGCCCTGTCACTCACCTCCTGCCCATCCACTCTTGTGTCTCCTGCTCTGACAGCAGGCTGCTCAGAGCTCAGAGAGCACACCTTACTGTCTCTCACCTCCTGGCCTCTGCACTTGCTGTCCCTTTGTTTCTTCTTCCTCAGATTGCCCCGATCCCCTCTAAAAATCTCCTATCCATCCTTAAAAATCTGACTTAAATGTCACTTCCTAACAAGAAGCCTTTTTGACCCTACTGCAATCAGGTAAACACACACTCTCTCCCCAACCGGTATAAAGTTTCAGTTATGCAAGGTGATTGAATTCTAGAGATCTGCTGTACAACCCTGTGCCTAGAATTATCAACACTGCATTGTAAACTTAAAAATTTAAGAGGGCAACTCTCACACTAAGTGTTCTTACTACAATTAAAAATAGGAGTATCCCAATATTGTACTTTTCTCACTGTTCTTCAACAGATTTCTCTGCAGTTTATTCAAACTCTACTATTCAGTTTGCATGGGGTCATTCATTCATTCATTCAGAGTGGATCTCTCTGATCTTTCTTGATCCTCAGCATAGAGTCAGGCTTCCTCGTGTATGTCTTAACTCTATTTTTTAAAATTATGTAAACAATTTTAATGCAAACATTAAAACACACCAGGCATTCAGTAAATGCCTAAAATGAAGACTTGCCAGCACTCAGTCAATGTCTCATCTTCATTTTTAAAAATAGTTAAGTTTGTGTTCTCAGCATTGGTTGGGGAAATAATATCAAATGAAAGGAGCTTGGTTTTGTACAGAAAATGAGGAGGAGGAGGAATGATTCATAGCTGATTATGAGAAGCCTGCAGAGTTTATTTTTTGAATTCTAGGTGTCCATGAGTGAGTCTTGGCTCACAAATGATGAACCTATAAAATGCACAATGAAAAGGACGCTACAAATCAACAGAGAAGCACCTGTCCTGTGTTCTTGTAGGTACCAGCAAGCATCCAAACCATACCTACTCTCTTTATTAGCACCCTTTCATTAACGAATTTGGGATTCAGTCAAGGACACTGATCTCCCCCTGGATTCAGGACCCTTCAATAGAGGAGACTAACACTGCCTTGTGCCAAGGACGATGCTTTGTTATTTTCATCTTAACTCTCATGACAGCCCACAAGGAGGATACCATTAAACCCATTATTCAGAGGGTAGGTCTGAGGCTTAGAGAAGTGGACCTGCTCCAGGTGATGGTGAGGGGTGAAGCCGGAATTCAGATTCGGGACCGTCTGGGCCCAAAGCCCATGCTCTTCCTCCTTTAAATGAAGATGCTTCTCAAAAACAGTCAAGTGCCACAAATGTTTGGAATAAAACCTTTATATAGAGACTAGAGAGAAGGAGCCAAAATGTTCCGGTACTAGTCCTTTAAAGTCCTTTAAACTTGGAAAGAGTTCAGCTATCAGCAAAATGAACAGGTAAACATCTGCCTCTCAACGTTGGTATTTGTGTGGTTATGGAGCTCCAAATGTTGGGATGTTTGTCCTGCAATAAGAAGAAACTAAGGAGCCGATCCCCAAATTTAGATTAAAATGAAAAGGACAGATGAAAGAAGTACCTTTTGTTTTTTCAGGGTGCCTGCTCTGTAGCAAATAAGCACCTGCTTCATCTTTTCTATGCCTTTCTGGTGATCTAACAATTTTTTTCCTGTTGGTACCTGCCTTCTACCTACCACAGAGAGATGTTGTCAGGATGATGGAAAAACACTTGCTTATAAAGGACACAATCTCACGAATTGGCTCTGAGCTTGGCAAAATGTGCAAACATTTAAATGCAAGATGTTCTTTCTTGCTGTTAGTCAACAGATTTAACTTTTCCAACAACCCTCCACCAAGAAGAATCAATTTCTTAAACAGTTGGCACATATGCTATCTTGAAGAAGATAAAGAGGTTTTCCCAAATGGCAATGCAAAACAATTCTATTTATTTATTTTTGCTTTCTAAAAATTTGCTTTCTGGTAGATCAATGCCAAATTTGGATTTTTTTTCCCCACAAATTGATCTAGTTGTGCTGAATCCTATTCCACCCTCAAGACATTCTGACATGTTTAGTATTGAGTGACATTTTATTTAGGTTCCTGTTGAAGACATGGAATCAACATTCTACATAAACCAGAACCTAGTCAATGCTAGTGGTAATGGGGTTCAAGTAATAAAACCATTCCCTGGCTTCAAATTGTGTCCCAGATGGTATTAACCATGTGGTGTTCCTTAAATTGATTTAGCTTGTCTAAGCCCCACTTTCTACTTTTGAAAAATAGTGACTTTAACATTTGCCGTATCTTTTTCAGAGGACTGGGTGCCAATATTAACTTAGATGATGTGGTAGGTTGTTTGCAACAGTCTCAATTATTTATCTTGCTGTATCCGTGCCCCTTTGAAATGTCACTTTGAAGTGCCTCTCATCAAGAGACAGAGGTGTTTAAGGGGTGCTTCCCCACCCGCCAACCTGGACTGGCCTTGAGATTTGCTTTAACAGAAGTAACATAGTGCCAGTTTTGAGCCTGCTCAGCTGCCATGTGAGCAGGCCCGGGCCAGCATCCTGGAGCCTGAGAGACAGGGAGCAGAAAGTTACCATCCTGGTTGAGGCCATCCTAGGTCAACCAGCCCCCAGCCCACACAGATGCATAAGTGAGCTTAGTCAAGAACAGAAAAATTGCCTACCTGAGCCCTACCCCAGATCATCACTGTGCAGAACTATTGTTTTAAGCCACTATGTTTGGGGCTTGTTTTTTAGGTAGCAAAAGCTAATTGATACAGATGCTCTGTAAGAGGGCATGATTTCCACGAGAGGTGCTGTGAGGGACACTAGCTTTGTCATCGTATCAGTGGCGTTAATGGTGATACTCACGGGTGGTTGTCACCCTCTTCAGGCCTGGCCCCCTCGTATTGTTCTTCACAATGTGCAGAGAGATCTCGTACTCTTGCCCAGGAGCTAGGCCTGTTTGCCGGTACGTGGTCTCTGGCCTCCTTAGACTTTTGGTGATCTCTCCTTCGTCTTCTTTATTCTGAAAGATAGGAGCACCTTGTAAGACCTAAAGGAGGTGCCGACCTCTTCATTTGTGTGACTCATTCATTCCGCATTCATTCATTCCTCTTTTACTCCGTCGTCTATTCACTAGGCATCTACTAGGCATCTGATCAGTATAGGATACAGAGATGATAAAGATCTCTCTCAAGTTCGTATCTCCCTCTTGTAAACCTCTCTACTCACTCCTTGGACACTCAACTCCGGTGACAGGATGTGAGAGCTAAAGCAATTCTGGAGCCACAAGCTCAACGCCTCCTTTGAAAGACTCAGAGGCCAGCATCACAGAAGTCGGGTGAGCATCCCACGGTCACACAGCTAGTGGCAGGGCCTGGGCTGGAACTCGGGAACCCACGTCCTTGCCTCAGGTGTGCTTTTAGGCCCAGAGAGGAGGGATGCTCAATCTCTGATATGCTTGGAGGCATTTCGAGAGAGAGACCATTTCCTTTCTTCTTTGCCTCTGAGTAGAGGTTTGCAGGACTACGAGGGGCAATCTGAACCTAGGCATGACTTAACATCTATTCATTTAGGTCTCAGCCTTAAGTGCTATGCTTATTGACTTATTAAAATCACTTATAATATATGTACAAACACACAGGGTGCTAATTAGAGCCTTTTCCCCCACCCAAAGCTAAGGAAATTGAGTTGATATAAGTCTGCAGAAGCTCTGAGCATCTTTTAGATCCTCATGGGCAAATATGCCTGCTCCTCTGTGCTCCTTACCATATTCCGGAAGATGATCTCCCACGTTTCGAAAGCGATGTCCAGAGGATCCCACTCCACTTCCACAGATGTCTCCTTGATGGACTTGAACTTTAGGCCTTCAGGTGCAGGTAAGTCTGTCAGGAAGAGCACAGAGAGGAGGTAAAGATGGCTACATGCGTGTTGGGGCAGCACGGCCAGAATTCCACTAAGCCCTGTGGGTCCACTGCCATAGTCAGGGCCTGATCAGCAGAGCATCTATTTAAAGGTTCTTCCGGGATGCTGTCTACTGTGAGGCAGCATGAAAATTAATATAAGGACCAACCCTATGATTAAATATTGGCAACTGCATATAACCCAATATCAGCACAGGCTTTGACATTGACAGACGTGGGCTACCGTCTAAGCTCCACCATTGCAACATTTCTGTGCTTGAGCAAGTTGTACAAAAAATGCCCTGAGCCTCAGTTTCTTCACACGGGAGAAGGAGGTAAGGATGTCTGACCCTTGGGAATGTTTTGAGGACTGAGTGATGTATTCCATGTAGACTGTTGGCCATGGTTCCTGGCACCAAGCACAAGTTTAAAACATGGCAGCCAATGATACTGTTACTAAGTGAAAAATGACCAATTTCTAGACAGAATTTCCTTCGCAGATATGGGAGTGATGGTACCGATGTTGGACTCTTAAAGGAATAACTCGAACCCTAATGTTTCTACTTAAAAAAATATGTATATATATTTTCATACAATTATGTTATATATAATATATATTAATATTAGCTATAATATGTTAAGTATATATAGACAGTGAGCACCACAGAAAGGTAGGTGTACAGTAGAGTGTTAAGAGCATCAATTTGCAACCAGACTTCCAGAGTTTAAATCCCATCTACACCCCTTATTAACCACGTGGTTTGGGATGAGACGCCCAGCCATTCAGAGTCTCAGTTTTCTCATCTGTAAAATGGGTTAACGATAGCTCCTGTCTCATAGGGTTCTCGCCAGTTACGTGACTTAATGATACACAGAGTGGTTCAAACCAAATCTGGCGCAGAGTAAACACTTGTTAAGTGTTACCTGTAATGATTCTCTGTGGCAGCAAAGAGACAGGAGAGCAAGGAGGGGTATTTTGTAGAAAATGAAGAGTTTCTTTTGAAAAGTACTCGATGGGCTTAACTGGATTCCAGGTTAATTGGTGTAACTATAGAAAGACAGCCGTAGAGGTATGGGGGCAAAGGGGAGGCAGTAACTCATGGGGCGGGTTGTACGCTGGGTGAGTGGAGGGCAGTTGGGGCTGCCCAGGGGCTTCTGTTCACTCACAAGTGGCCACCCTGGCACTGACGGGGATGCTCTTCTTGTTCTCCAGGATGGCAAACACACGGATGAAATACTCCACGCCAGGCTCTAACTCCTGGATGATGGTGGATGTCTGGTTTCCGGGCACACGGAACTGCATTTCCAGGCCGCCCTCGTGGGTGGGAGTGTACGTGACGAGGTACTCCGTGACCCGCATCTCATTGTCCCAGGCCAGGTTTACAGTCTCTTCCGTCACTTCTGTCACGATGAGGTCTTTGGGAGGGGACACTGGTAGGAATAAGAAAGGACAGATCAATTACGTTCCCCATACATTCTCTCCAGGTTTGTTTCCTGTGACCAGTCTCTTGCACTGCCAGTCTCTGAAGCCTGAAATCCAGCTTCATTTCCTAAAATGCAGAGCTCATCAGGAAGCCCCAGCTGTGATCCATCTTTAAAACCTTTGGTGGCCGTCCTCTGCCTTCATGCTCAAGTTCCGGGTCTGCAGTGTGCCCTTCAGGGTTCTTTGTGAGGGACCCCTCCAACTTATCCACTCCCTGGACCTCAGTTCAGATTCAGGCCATTTGCATGGAAAAGTGCAGCCTGAGCTTGGCTCCCTGCTCTCAACTTCAAGTCCTAGTTCCCTAGGGCTGGAAGGGCATTTGGGGCTCATCCGGTCCAACTCTTTCATTTTCTAGATGTGAGTGTGGCAGAGGGACTTGCCCAACTCTGCTTCTCTCATCAAATTTGGGACTCACATCTCCTCCCCACCAGCCTGGGCTTCCTTCCAACCAGGCTTCCCTGCCTTTGCCACGTAAAACATAAAGCCATTTATTTATTCTTATCTATCGATACGTTTAATCAAGGCAGAAATTCCCCATCACAACCAGTATAACATGGGTGGATGGAAGAAGAACAAAGAAGACCCTCATTAAACCTGAGCATCATGGGTCTTTGTCGTATTTTCACTCATCCCCTGTCTACTGAGCACTTAGTGTGTACCATGACCTGTGCTAACTGCGCGATAATGCCCCTCCAAGGGCATCGCAATGCTCAGGATCAAAGACAGTAAAGGAAAGATGATTTAAGAGATGGGTCTGCCTCACAGGGGATCAACAGTTAGTCTTTAGCTGATCTTTGTTTTATGTAATCTCACTGTCCGTTCAATTTAGCTGAACTTTTACTTCTATCCAAATAGAGGGATTTACTTTACGATTGGTTTGTTGTCGGTGGGGAGGAGGGAAGATGGTTGATGTCTAGCAAAAGGGAGGTTATCTTTCCATCTACCTCATCTTAGGCACTATATGTTCAAGTCAGTATAAACGAGTTTGGCAGACTCAAATCCCAGCTGCGGGATGTGTGAGCTGTGCATCCTCGGGACAATTCCATAACCTTTCTGAGCCCCCAAGCCCTCAAATAGGTAGCCCTGTAACAGGTGAATTACCAGGGCCCCTTCAAAAAGTCAGTGTGCGTGTGTGTGCATGTATTTTAGTTAATGTCTAATTCTCCAACACACACTGGGAGATCAGGGTAGTGTTTGCACTGGTACTAACCCTCTGAGCAGTCTTCCCCTGTGTAGCCCTCATTGCAGATGCAGCGGCCTGCCACGCACTGCCCCCAGTTACTGCAGTCATTGGGGCAGGACCTCTGCCCGCAGTCTGGAGCCGTGAAGCCCTCCTGGCAGATGCACTGGCCGTCCACGCAGCGGCCCCGGCCGTGACAGTCGCTGGGACACCTCCGCTCCTTGCAGTCTTTGCCTGTGAAGCCTTCGTGGCACACACACTGCCCGTTCACACAGCGGCCCTGGCCATGGCAGTCACTCGGGCAGGAGAGCTCTGCGCAGTCGGGGCCGGTGAAGCCGTCCTCGCACACGCACCGCCCGTCCACACAGCGGCCCCGGTGGCTGCAGTCCCTGGGGCACCGCAGCTCCCGGCAGTCCTCGCCTGTGTAGCCGTCGTCACAGATGCACATGCCATTCACGCAGCGGCCGTGCTGGTGGCAATCGTGGGGACAGCTCATTTCACTGCAGTCATAGCCCTGGAAGCCTTGTTCGCACACACACTTCCCCTGGACGCAGCGGCCCCGGCTGTTACAGTCGCTGGGACACCGCAGCTGGGCGCAGTCCTCCCCGGTGTAGCCCTCGTCACACACGCACTGCCCATTGACACAGCGGCCGTGGCCACTACAGCCGTTGGGACACTGCAGCTCTCCGCAGTCAGCTCCTGTGTAGCCGTCGTCACACTCACACTGCCCGTCTACGCAGCGGCCGTGGTTGTGACAATCGGCCGGACACCTCTTCTCGCCGCAGTCCACGCCGGCAAAGCCCTCATCGCACACGCACTGGCCCTCCTCGCACCGGCCCTGGCCACGGCAGGCGTTGGGGCAGGTGAGCTGACCACAGTCCTCGCCCGTGAAGCCTTCTTCGCAGTAGCAGGTGCCGTTGATGCAGCGGCCGCGGTCGAAGCAGTCCTTGGGGCAGATGAGTTCACTGCAGTCCTCGCCCGTGAAGCCCGCATCACACACACACTCGTTCTCCACGCACCGCCCGCGGTTGTTGCAGTTGTTGAGGCACAGGGGCTCATTGCAGTCTTCGCCGGCAAAGCCATCTTGGCACACGCACTGGCCGTCCACGCACCTGCCGTGCTCCGCGCTGCAGGGCACCGGGCAGACCTCCTGGCTGCAGTCAGCGCCGGCGTAGCCTTCGAAACAGATGCAGACCCCATTCACGCACTTGCCCTGGTCATTGCAGTCGCTGGGACAGGCCAGCTGGCTGCAGTCTTCCCCGGTGAAGCCCTCGTCGCAGAGGCACTGCCCATCCAGGCACTGGCCTCGCAGGTGACAGTTGCCTGGACATTCGGGCTCAGAGCAGTTGGGGCCTTTCCAGCCCGGTTCGCAAACACAGCCACATCCTTCAGCGCTGAAGTTCCCCCGGCCACTGCAGAAGGGTCTGGTGTCCAGGCGGCCTGCAACGAAGAAAATAGATGCTCTCAGCTCAATTCTCAATTTCTCGATTTCTACCCGCCAAACGCAGATTGAAATTCAGCCAGAGCATGGTTGCATCCTCAGGCCTCATCTGGCTTGAGAACTAATTGCTTCATGCGTTTAATCAGATGAGCTCCCATCCAGTTACACTAGGTAGGAATTCTTAAGCTGCACTCTCTGAAACTGTAGACTCATGTGCAAAGATGGTGTGGGATTATGTGTGTAGCTCTGTGTGTGTGTGTGTGTGTGTGTGTGTGCGTGTGTTCCACCTGTGGGGAGAGGATCCATAGTTTTTATCAAATTTTCAAGTAGTCCCAAGACCCCAGTGATTCTGAATCACTGCCTTGTAGAAAGCAGTGTGCTGGGCTGTGTTGCTGCTTCTCCAGGAGGAACATTCGAGAACAATTGTTTCCCACAAGAAATCGTTGTTGAACTGAACTCAATTCTGCCTCTTTGACTCAAAGCGGTGCTGCATTTGGAAAGGGATTTACATGCTTTGAAGCTCAGCTTCTTCATTGCTCATGCGGGACTAAGAGCCCACTTCCTTGGGTGCATCAGGGTTAAACGAGGACATCAAGAACCTACTGCTGTGTGTAGTGTTATTTTCCCTTCCAGAGTGTTTTGGGTTGACTCTAGTTGGTAGACGGCTTTACGTGACCCAACTTTCTAATTTTCCCTAACTGAAATGAGGCAGTGAAGGAGTGGCTTTCTAACTCGGTCAGGACCACTTTCGATTTGGCTACGTCCCCACAAAACTCCTGTGCCTCTCTCTCTCTTTTTCCCTCTCTTTCCCGGAAGCCACAGTGGGAGTGAACCTGAGGAATACATGGTCAGCACCGACATGACTCCACTCTTTGAGGTCTATCTCATGTCTTCACTTAACTCCTCGGACTAACTGGAGCGATCTCCATGGAGCCCGAGGAGAGGAAATGAAACTCATTTCCGTTTTTCTGCACCTAGATCTAGTTGTGTTAATATATTTTATTTCCTTCCTGACAGCAGGAAAGAAGGCAATTAAAAATAAAAGTGGGTTTGAAAACGGAGAATCCAAACTTGTGTTGTGTAGTATGGTGGCCGCTGGACACACGTGCCTATTAAGCGATTGAATGGTGGCTTGCCTGAATTGAGATGTGCTGTGAGTGTAAAATTCACACTGGATTTCAAAGACAGTGTGAAAGAAAAGAATGTAAAATAGCCATTAATTTTTATACATTTTTATACAGATTCCAGGCTGAAAAATGGATAATTTGGTCTATATTGAGTTAAATAAAATAAACGATTAAAATTATTTTTAGCTGTTTCCTTTTCATTTCTTCAATGTGACTACTGGAGAATCTCAGATCATGTGTGTGGCTCGCATTATATTTCTATTGGATAGCAGATAGCATTCCTCTAAACAACTATTCCCGCTCACTCTTAAGTGTTAATTCCATTGTGTAACTTCCATCAGCATTTTGGGGGGGGGGGGGGGGGGGGGGGGGGGGGGTGGGAATTAAACTAATTTATGCATAAAGAAAACTTTTTTTTTCTGCCTTAGAAACCTGGAGTATGTCCTATAGTACTCTCCATTTATGGTGATTAGATCTACTCTTGAAATAATTTGTCCAAGTACTTCCTGGTAATTTTTTCTGAGTGGCAGAAATAGAGATTTTCACCTCCAGTTTGATGCTGTTGAAACGCCTGTGGTTCTATCAACTTGAGGGAACGGAGCTGAAGACATAATTCCAAAGTGGCAAAATTCCTCAAAACAGGGATGTGGCCAGGTACGACTGGGAGACCACGAGTTCTGGAGACACAGGCACATTCAAAGCTCCCATCTCGTATTAGTCTTTGTGTCATCTTGTGCCAGTTGGGTAACTTCTGTGAGTCTCAGTTCCCCCATCTGTAGAATGGGGGCATTTAACCTTATCTCAAGGTTCTTGGACGGATTAAATGAGTTAATGAATTACAGTGCCTGGTACATAAAGGGGGCTCAATTCATAGTTGTGATCATCATCATTGTTGTTGCCATTAAACGGAACTGTTTTTTCCAATTCCCGCAGAACGTGCACTGCACATTTGTGAGGACCATAGGCAGCACTGTGCATTTGTAAGAACACAGGGGTGTGGAATACTGTGGATTAAGTCCTATCTCGGCCAGTTATTGAAGGACATTGAGGGATCCCACCCTCCTTCTGGGCCTTAGTTTCCCTACTTGTACAACGAGGTGATGGGGCTATATTAGCACCCTTCGGAGAGTGATCTTTGAGTCAGGAATTTCATAATATGTTCATAAGTTTTGGGGTGAAGAATGGGTAGATTTCATGGTCAAATAAGTCTTAGAAACTAGTAATTAGAGTGGAACAGGGTTTCTTGAAGGAAGACTTCCCAGAAGCCTGAGAATTCCTCTAAGAAACACTTGTCACCAAGAGCAAAACAGCGAAGGTTATATTTCCCACATTTATTTGACCATAAAATCTCTTTTCACTGAACACGTGGTGAGGCTGGTTCCCCAGGGAACCCACTTTGAAAACCACTGATGGACCCTGCCATGCTCATCATTTCTCCTACTTGTACAGCGAGGGGCTGGACCAGCTCATACCTTCAGCAGGCTGGAGACAGCAGCCTGCTCCTGTGGTACACTGCTCCCGCAGGGAAGACACCAGGTTCTCCAGCTCCTCCAATCTGCTCAGAAGCTCTTTGACGTCAGGAGCAGCTGCGCAACCACAGGCCCGGCGGGGGATGTTGATGCGGTGTGTGAAGACGATCTGGTTGTTTCCATCCACTGTGTGCTCCTGGAAACTTTCACTGGGCTCCAATGGCGGGGCCAGGTCTTTCGCCCCACTGCCTGATTCCAGATCCACTGAGCACTGGGACCCGACCGGCAGCTTGATGTTGTAGACATGGTTAAACACCACTGGCTGGTTTTCCTCTGGCAGGGAGATATTCACCCCACTTTCTCGCTTGTGCCGGATGACTTTCTTGAGGACCCCACCTTCCGTAGAGAGGGCGAGCAAAGCTAGGAAGATGCCTGCCAACAGCCGAGTCATGGCCCCCATGGTGGAAGTGGGTTTGGCTGGACGTTTCTGGGGTTCTACAGTCCTAGAGTGTCTCACTATCAGGCAGAATTGGGGATTTGGAAGCACAGAGTAGAACCCAAATCAGTCGTTTCTGATCTTCTTGAAGGAATTCTCTTCTACAAGTAAACAAAGAAAATAACAACCTTGTGAGTATCTACTGCTGATTGAATCTATTGAATATCTGCAGTTCCAAGTGAATTTTGATTTTATATCTCCTGCGTTTGATGCTCTCCTCATATTCCTTCAATATTCACTGTAGGGTTGATATAAAATGGTCTCTCAAATAATTTTGCAAACTGGAAGGAATGATTTCACTCACTATTCAACTTCTAGAAATTTAGCGAGACAACAGGGTACAGAAGAAAGGGCCAAACTTTGGAATAAGACAGACCGGATGCGAGTTTGGATCTCAGCTCTAGCCTTTGGGTAAGATACGTAACTTTTATTGGTCTTATTTCACTGCCATATGGTGAAGATCATAATGGCTACTGTCAAAGTTAAAATAATCCTGTAAGTGAAAACATTAATTTGAAACCATGTATTCATGAGTTTCTTCAATATTCGCTAGATGTGCACACTGAGTGACCCTCATAGTGACGTAACGGCCATAGTCCCAGTAGATGTTCAATAACTCCTACCTCTTATTATTGACCCTCTAATCTGAGTTTAACACCATCTGCTGCTTCTCTGCTGCTATCAGAGGCAGAGATTAAAATGAAGGACTCTAGAAGGAAACTGAGTTTTAATTCCAGCTGAGTTTCTTACTAGTTTTGTGGCTATTGGAATAGTCTTCTACTTCGCTGAACCTCAGTTTCTCTTCTCCTTGATTTACTTCCAAAACCTTGAAACGTCAAGTTTTTAGAAGAGCCTGACAGAGTGTCCCTGAACCCCTTGTCCAAATTATGATTCAGGGGAAGAGATGGCTCAGAAAGGATGTGTATGAGCCTCTGATGTCTTCTCCAGTCAACAAGTACTTATACTATTCTTACTGAGTATTAGGACAGAACGATGTCCTCTTCTCCCCTCAAATTCATATGTTGATGCCCTAACCCCCAATGTGACTATGTTCGGAGACGGGGACTTTAGGAAGGTAATCATGGTTAAATGAGGTCATAAGGCTGGGGCCCTGATCTGATAGTGTTGTAAGAAGAGGAAGAGACATCAGAGGTCTCTCTCCTTCTCTCTCTCTCTCTGCTTGTACACAGAGGAAAGGCCATGCGAGGACACAGCGAGGAAGTGGCCATCTGAAAGCCAAGGGGAGAGGCCTTACCAGAACTGAATTTTCCAGTGCTTTGATCTGGGACTTCCAGCCTCTCAAATTGTGAGAAAGTAAATTTCTGTTGGTTAAGCCAGCCAGTCTGTGATATTTTGTTATGGCAGCCCAAGCAGACGAATACATTTTTTCCACAATAATCAGAGTTCTTTGGATGGTAGAAATAAATATAAGACCAAGGGCCTACCCTCAGAGGGCTTAACAATAGAATTAAGAAGAAAATGGAATCATCCACTTACTATTTAAGGAACAAAGCAAGAAGGAATGTAAATCATTTATTTTGTAGTATAGGATATAAGTGATTATGGAGTTTGAAAGATGTAAAAGGAATTGTCAAGAGTGGTAGGCCATGGCTGTTGGAAAGGATGGAATTTAAGCTGATCCTTAAAGAATGAAAATGATTAGATACAGAGTATAGAGGAGAATATGCTATTGTGAAGCCGTTCTTACATTGTTAAGCTGTCTTACGGCTATTCACCTGTATGGACAATCAAGGAGCATAGGAAAGGGGAGTGTTGTGTGCTGGTCTCAGCTTATCAATAACCAATGTTGTGGCTGGACCAGCCCTTGTGACTCTTATTATGATTGCAAGAGGCCCTTCCACAATAACCATCAGAAAATTTTTGGGAAAAAAAGGTTTATTACTTAAAGGACATGGAAATTACAAGGCATACCTGGGGCCAAAGAGCAAGGCCATGGGGGAGAGAGAGAGCACAGGCCTGGGCTTCTGCTTTTATTGGGGTCTAGGGTGGGGGCCCAGGGTTTCGCAGGCTCATTCTTTATTGGTGAATTTAAAACATAAGAGCAGGAATTTAAAAAGTGGGAAGAGAAACACCAAGCGGCCCAAATGGTCAGTTATTGAAATTAATGGAGATCTCTAAAACATAGAAGCCTCAGTGGGGGGAGGTGCCTGGCTCTTTATCTAGTCTGTGGCTGGCAATGTGTTTATTCCAGATAGCCATCTTTGCAGTGGATGCCTCTTTGAAGTGGCTGCCTCTGTAATCAAAGCTTAAGTCAGGCACTTGCATTAGAAGAAAAAAAAAAAGACTGTCAAGAGTTTACACTACAGGGAGTTGACAGAGGCAGCTGAGAAATTATTGAGTAAAGATAGGAAGACATGGTTAAACTTTAGGTGGTTATAATACTGACTAAAATATTCCTTGAATCTTGTGAGAATGATCTATACATAGTATGAAGTCATTTATAGTCTTCTTTAATTAGGAAATACACCTGACCGTTGTTCAAGAATGTAATTGAGAGCTACTTATTTTTTAATCAGTCATTTCACAAATTGGTATTTTCCCATGCCCATGCTGCTTACACTCACACGTTCTAAGTTAGCTATTTATGTCAATTAGATGTGGTATTTACATTGCTTATCCTATAAGAGGCTTTCCAATTTTTTTTCCAAGGAAGGTCTTATCCCAATGATAGAATGCGTCAATATGATCGCAAATGATCACCTCCTTCATGATGACGGGAAAGTCTTTGCAAAACCTGGAGAAGGATTGTAGCAGGGAAAATCGAACTGAGAAGCATTTCTGTAGGGCTGGCCAGGGGTCTGGGGACCTAGGAAGCACAACTGTGGATTTAATCAAGAACTTTCTATCCATACCACATCTTAATTATAGTCATATTTGATATTTTACCAACTATCCATGTGATAGCTACTTACGGCATCTACTCCCTGGTTAGGCAAAAAGGAAAGAAAGAAAGAAACAAAAAACTTCTGAGTATGCTGTCTCATTCAAATTAGTTTCCTAAGTAAGAATTTGTGGATCTGGGATGTAGGCAGGCCCACTGAATGCAAATTATTATGAAGAGGAGAACTTGGCAAGTTCTCAAACCAGCATAGCTCATCTTATTTGTTTACTGGACAAATATTTATTGATGGCATACTCTACTGCAATTGCTTTAACTCTCTTTGCCTTCCACAATCCTTCCTTCCCACCCTCTTCCCCTCAATTCTTAGCTCTCTCTCTCTCTCTCTTTTTTTTTCACGAGAAAGGGCCATGGGCCAAGTTTGAAATGCTTTTGGACTTTTACCCAACACTTTTGTGTGTGTTGCTAAATGACTTAAATTTCCATCTAAAAGGCCAGGAGAGTTGCTGGTTGAGACTCCAAGGCAGTGAGTCTAGGGTAATAATGACCAGAGTATGGGTTGAGTGAGGATTTTTCACTGTGAGTGTAAGAGATGTGCACTGGCACAGCCAAATGCTGCGTTGTTTGGAGGAAGGAAATGGAATTCTTGAGGGCTATGTATTTCCCATTGGCTCATGGTGGTCTGAGGACAGGTGGATGTTTTTGTCCTTTGGGAAAGATCCATTATATCTTTGTGATAAAAAATGCCTAAGCTTTGGAATTAGAGGCACCTGGGTTCAAATGACACTCACTAGCTTGGTCACTTTGGCAAGCCATTTATCCTCTCTCAACCTCGTTTGACCTCAAATGACCTCATTTGTAAAATATGGGTCAAAACCCTTCTGGGGGAAATTATGGATTGAAAATCTGTATGTAAAGCATCCAGCACAGAGTCCGCCTGTAGGAGGCATACATTAAAAAGTAGCTTCTATTTTGTTGCATTCCTAGGAACAAAGCCTAGCATGACCAGGCCAAGAGCCTCCCTCTGCCTAAGCTTGAGTTTGACCTCTTCATGGAATCCAGTCCTAAACTTAGCAGCAACTTGGATCCAGATCCAAGAGGACTTGCAGAAATCACTGATGGGTGAGGAGGTAAACCTTATAAAGATACATTTACCAGAACTGGAACTATGTACACCGGAGAGAAAAAAAGATAGGGAGCAAACAATAACCTTTAAGAACGTAAAATATTCTCAAGCAGACAACTGGCTGCTTAACGTGCCCTTTGAGGATAGATCTAGGGAAAATTACTTTAGATCGCAGTTTGAGATATTTAAGTTAGACATGAAGAATCACGTTCTGACAGCAGGTCTTTTAAAGTTTCAGACTGAATGACTTATTCTATAGTGACTCTTAAAAATGCACAAGTAGATTCTTATCTTTATAGGAAGTGACCAGGCAATGGGAGGTCTGGAAAATATCTTGTAGGAGGAAGGAATGCAGACTTGTGCCTATTTATCCTGTAGTTGAAAAAGCCAAGGTTGAGAGGGACATGACTATCATGTACAAATCCTGGGGAGGCAGGAGCCGGCTTGCTCCTTGTGGCCCCAAAGGACAGAACAAGCACTGATGTGTGTGTCTGTTGGGAGTAAGGGTAGGGTTGGTTACGAGAAGACAAATTTCAGCACAACTGGAGAAATATTTTTCTAGTTGGAATTCTCCAATAGAAAGAGCTTCTTTTAGACTATAGCAGGTTCCAAGGTTCTGGAATGTAAATAGAATAGTGCTGAAGAGTATAGGTTTTAAAGACAAACTGTCTTGGGTTGATTCACAGTTCAACTACTTCCTGTCCTTGAGAAAGGTGTTATCTACTACTGTAAGGCAGAGTCATGTTATTGATAAAATGTGATACGAGTTTCCTCGTAGGATGGTTGTGAAAAGTGCATGGGGTGACGTGCGTCATGGAATGGTATGGTCTTTGGCAGCAGCAAGAGCTCAATAAAGGGAAGCTTTTGTACTGAAAAATAGAGACTTCAATTCATAGTTTTTAGGATTTTCTTTCTCCCAACTCTTAAACCTCTTACTTTGGCATATGCTCGTCTGTTTTTTTAAGCAAGGATAAGAGTTCTGAGTAAGTGGAGACTGTCTCTCTCAAAGATCTCAGGCAAATACGGCCTGGAGATTATCTCTATCCCCATCTCCATCTCCATCTCTATCTCCATATCTATGTCTATAACTATCTATAGCCAGCCCTGGTGGTCTA